TTGTAGAGTTTTTGACTCTTTTACAAAAATTGCAACTTTTTGACTCAGCTGATCCATAGCAGTTGTAAATACTTTATTAAATGTTGCATGAACTGTTGCTATTTGAGGAAAATGAGAGTTAACACGAGTCTCTTCCGCAACAGTAAGATCGTGGTTTTCCCAATTGTTGTAAAGTTCCTGGATTTCATCTTCAACGGGTTGTAAATAAGTTGCATGGCTTTGAAGATACGATGCTATAGAAGTGCACAAACCGTTCATCTCTCCGCGTTTCTCTATAACTTTTTGTAGATTTCTATTATTCAGGATATTGTCCATGGGATTTTGAATGTTAGTGTTATAAATCGAAGTTAACACATTAATATATTTAGAGGTAACATTCGTTTCGCATAATGAGAACAACGGCTCGAAGTTCATTTCAAAATAAGGATCGTTATTTTTTTCATGATATTTTGAAAGAAGATTTGTGTAGGTGATTTTTTCTCTCAAAGCCCCTTTGACGTGGATCTGCCAGCAAGATAAAAATAAAGAAATGTTACTTTAACATCATGTAATCAATATTGATAGTTTTTTATTCGTTTTTTCTAAATTATTCATAGTTTCAAAGAGTAAGTACTTACCGCGTCAAACAGCAAAAACGAAAATAAGGTCAAAAATAAAAATTGCTTCATTTTCTTTAGTTGCAAGTACTCTATTTTAGTGTGCTACACTATTGTATATAATATTCTACTGAAAATAAGAAGGCGTTGGAACGTTTATATACAAAAAAATAAAGCGAAAAAAATGTCTGTGCTTACGTCAAAAAAATTCCAAACATATTTACATATCCAATAATCCAATAATATTTACATAATATGAATTATATTTTTTATTCGTAAATTGAATTAACTTTAATGTAGTGTGAATTATTTCTCGAATCGTTTTTGCGATGAGAGTTTCTCATGAGACATGTATACTATTATTCGCTTTCCGTAGGAGAATTTATAGCAACTATGATGTTCCCGTGTTTTATTTTTGACTAGCTTACCTACACTGTAGCGCCAGAAGTTGTTCAAGTAGAACTAAGCAGTTTTCTGTGCGTTTCCAGCGGTCGTCAAGGGTTAAAAAAACATTTCTAGCTTTTTTCCACAATTTCATGTTTTAAACATGCTCATTCCATTGTAATTCATACTTTCAATTGTTTCATACGCAAATACAAAATGCGTCAAACTTTGGGCAGAAGAAATTCAGTATTTGGAAATATGTAGATATTTTTTCTTTTTTAATTAGTATAAATAATAATATTTTTTCATAAATAATACAATTATTTATTGATATAACAAAGAAACCCCTGCTTAATAAATTCGTTACCTTCGTTTATTTCAAAAACATTTTTTTTTGTTTCTAGCATGGAATGTAATACTTTGATGATACTTTCATGATACTTTGTTCCTTTCGTGTGCTTTCACGATTTTAAATTCAATAAAATCGGTATCTTTTCGGAAACATCGAACAGCCGTGGCAAAGTTAACAGAATATTTGATAATGCTTTAATTATTTTATTTCACTTTCAGGTCACCTCTAGGCTCACCTTATCTCTGACCATAATGTTAGGTAAGTGCGAGTGGCAAGGCCTTCAAAAAGATGACTAACTGTCATAAATCTTTTACGTTCTTTATTTTATTAAGAAAAAAACTATATATATATATATGCAAATTGTTTGTCTTCGCATGGGTTTAGAAGTTCAAGTGAATGCATGGAGCAGCAATAGTGTCGAATTGCATTTTTTTTCTTTTTTTTTCTTGTTTTTCATATAATTAAATTTCTTTTATATTTGTCGCCAATTTAATGCCATAGACGTGTTGTTGATCCGAATAAAGGGTGAAAATCAAAATATGATCACCTTGTGGTAGAGTTGACGGGAAAAACGTTTCGTTAACTCTAAAATTGTTCACAGTATAATTTCCCTGAATTGAAAATAAAAAGAAAAAGTCACAAATCAAAATGAAATTTAATGGTTTTTTCTCTCTTACTTTCAAAACTGGGCAGCGTGATGGAAAATTAGATACTTTCGCAAAAAGTGGATAATAATGATGTCTCGTAAGCTCGCATATTGATATGTATACAATGTAAAGGAGTGCATACTTTCCAGTCCAAATTTTATGAAAGTATTCAATCTTAATCTTTAATTAGAGAAACAATTATCGATTGAAAAATCACAATTACACATGTGCAAAACTCACGATATCGTTTTGAATGAAATCTCTCCTAAACTCAATATCTCCAGACACAACATACTCATTGGGATTTTCTTGTTTCACTACAATTGGATTTTTTGTTCCAGGAAAGATATATGTTTCGTTACACAATCCCGGCAGTAATTGAAAACCAGTCAATTTGATTTGATACTAAAATTTTGTAAACGAAATTAATCAAAACTCTTTTAGGGAAAATTACACCGTTTCACACACTTCACAAATTGCAACTGATGCTAGTGCGGCAAAAAAAATTCCGAAATACAAGCGATTTTTCATTTTGTTACCTTTTGTCATATGAAAAAATTCATAACTTGGGTTTTGGGTAACACGACACCCATATTTATACCTTCTATTAACTAGAATTATTAACAAAAGCTACATAAAAAAAACTATAACAATACAGAAAACAGGAAGTAGTTTTAGGAAATGATATTTTGTTTGCAAGTGATTGCATGCGAATTCTATAATTAATAGGTTTCAATATAATCAAGATATCACCTATTCAAAAGAAATGTGATATTTGAATATCAAATGAAATTATCAATATACTAACATTTGCTAACACTGAAAATCATCTGATGCTTGAAAATAGTGGCTGAACAAAAAAAAACAATAAACGATATAACCGAGATAAATTTATAATTCTAAAAAGTGATGTATTTGTAAAGCTTGGCGTTGAAAGCCATTGCATGTAGGAATAGGAGAAGTTAAAAGGGAGGAGGAGAGCGCCGAGGAGAATTTTTTCCTGAGATTGATTGAAATGCAATGGAATGGTGTTATTTGATCGAAATCAACTATCATCAACATTTATTTCATTTTAACATGAAAAATTACTTATTTTTTGTGAAAATATATAATAAAACCGTACATCCGCGTTACATTGTTTATACTGCATTATTAAATGAATTTAATTTGAGCAGTTGTATGAGTGAAATGATGCGCTTTTTGTTCACAATTGATTAAAATGAAGAAACTTGATACAAAAAAAAAACATAATTTGATTCTAAATAATTTTGTTTTTATAATAAATTGCAGTTAAGCATTGCAAATAATTCAAATAAAACTTGTGAGAACGAATGTTCCCACAATGAGCCGTATCAAAGTGTTCGAAATTCCAAGCAAATCATTGGTCGATCATCCCCATGTCTTTGATAATTCGAATCTTTTCTGTCTCTCTCTCTATCTTTCTCCTACTCGCTGTATCTCGTAACATTCCATTGGAATTCAAGCGGTCGAGCAAGTTCGGATCGGTTTTGTTCACATGGCCAGCAATAAAAACGATACAGCGATTAAAAAAGTGAATTAAAGAAATCGAAACGAGCAAACTGAAGTGATTCGAGCATCTTCTGTATTTGACATGTGTATATATATGTATAATATACATGGTTGCCGTCTTTTCAAATGCCAATTAAATTGAGCGTCAGCATTTTTCTGCTCTTCGATTAAAAATCGCACTTATACACATCAGAAATTAACGAAACTTACATGAACAGTGTTTCACAAGTTGCATTACATGGAAAATTACACAAAGTCTTGATTGAGAGAGGCCGTGCTGCACCGTGACTATAATAATACGTATGGACACATAATCCGACTGGCAGCCGAATTTCATGTGTGTGTATGTGTATATATATTCCTGCAGATAAATTCATTTTATCATGTTGTTTTGTTGTGCCTTCGCATCACCTTCATTTCATCCAGTAAAGCGACGGTTTCTTTTCGTTCGTACAAATGTGAAAAAGAAGGAAAAAGAAAACAATCTGTAGCCATGTCAATAATTGAATGTTTTGCCACAGAAGAAGTCGCATCGTACTTTTCATTCAGTATACATTCAGTGAACGAAAAAATATCAACAACAAGATGTTGTTATTATCATTATTATCGCCAGTTTCTTCTCGGACCAATCGACTTACTTGAAGACACCTTTACAGAAAATGAACGGACATGTCTATAATTCTCTGGCGAATGAACACATTGCACATTGAGCGCATTTTATCGCATTAAACGATTGTGATTCCATTTTCTCTTCGACGTTCGAACGGAATACACAACGATTACGTTGCCTTCAATTGTTCGGGCACACCGATTCAAAGTCAGAAGGGCAAACAGGATTGCAAAATCCATGCACACAAGAATTTAATTGAAGCCTTCCGATTGTCAATCACAATGCCACATACGGTTGCTTCAATCTGAACACAGCATAGAAATGGAAGAAATAATAAATGATTACACTTCGATCTTATGGGGTAAGACGAAATTTTTTCCACCTAAAATTTAATTATATCATTGCAAGACGAAAACAAACTATCATTCACTCGCATTTTCAACAGAAGTTAATCGCACCGGACAAACAGCTGACATGTGAATTTAAATGTTTTACATTCATTCAACTAAAATAAAGTTCACTGACACACATTCATCACCGCAGACGATACGAGAACAATATGAACGATAATACTCACTAACACCATCTGGGAACGCATAGACCAAATATACAATGCTTATTCGCAAATGGTTTGTGGTTGAAATAATGGAACTGTATTGAATACTAGACTTATATAAAACGTTAGCCGTTAGGTGTGAACGAAACATTTTTTTAAAATTTGATTTTATCTCTTGTTTTTTACGAATGTGTCTGCACTTCTGCGGTGCCAGTAACAGTCCGGGGATTAAACAATATTTTATAAATATCTAAAGAAAATTAAAAATAAAAAGTGAAAATTCAAAGACTTCCAAAGAGTCGTTGATAAAGAAAACTGAAGGTTTTGTTTAAGCACGACTGAAGTGCGAAAATATTTGCCAAACTTAGAATGCAAAAAAAAAACGTTACTTTTTAAAATAATCGTCCAGAAAATTGCGATGGATATTGTATTAAAGAGTTTTTTCACTGTTTCAAGAGCTATATATATATTTCCAATATTCGATATGAAAATGTAAAACTGGATTAAAATTGGGTCAGTTGGTTTTCTAGAAGAGCTGTGTGAGAGGCCCCAAAAACGTAATGTGTGCACATGTTTTATGAACATACATCGAATTGAAAGCGAGAGTAAAAACCGAAATGACATTAAACTGATGATTAACTGTATTCCCACTGTAGCACTAACATCTGACACTCTACCGAGTAACAAAAAGGGTGTGTATCAAAAATGAGATGCAATGAAAATGAGCCGAATCGGTAGTGGTATCGCGGAAAAATATGAAATATTCCGTAACCTTAATTTTTATTCATTAGGCACGTTAGAATAATTATTGTTCCCCATTGACAGTATTGTAATCATTTTGGCTTGGTTGAAAGTATTCGTTTATTTTTGAAAATGGGTTTGCTACCACGTATGATTTGTTGCGAAGATATATTTTGCATTCGGATTGGCTTGATTTCAAAGCCGTATCATCATCACCTAGTGATAAAAATAAATGAATGTTGTTTTATGCGTGCATCGAATGTGTGTACCTGTTTAACATGAAAAAATACTCACCAAGCCAAGTACATTTTGTTGAAAACTTACCGAAAAACAGCTTTCACACACACACATGCATTGCAATATTAATGGGTTACTGTTTTGCATGATCAACTCTTTAACATACGTGATGCTTTTTCTCTTTCATTCATTAAAATCAACCCTTCATATGTTCATCGTGTGTGATGCATATGATTTTTACATATACATTTATCGAGGGTGCGCGGGTTATGTGGCGTTGGAAAAGATATTTGTGTTTTGTGTTTTTGTATTTAGAATTTTATGAAATGATCCATTCAAAATTATTACGATTATTGTTTATTCACAAACATATATTCGCACGTTCTTGAAATTGATGCGCAGCTAAAACCAAAGCGCTGTTTATGTGACTTTTGTGAATTACCGAAATTAATTCGCGCTCGTTGCTCAAGTCAGGTTTTCGAAATGCAAACGTCGAGATAATAAAAGTTATATATAAATATATACAATATTTATTAATGAGCGTCAAGCTAAAATTCGTACGCACGAAATGTTGTGGCGGTGTCAGCCTTTTCGGAAAAACTTTTGTCATTATGCACAAAAATTCGAATAAATGAGTTTTGGTTTTTTATAGAAATGATAACACCTTAACTATACCAAAAAACGGCAAATAAAATAAATGTTAAAAATTCGGATGTCACCCTTGGGCACATATCTTTCGATTTTCAAAATGAATATCCAAAAATTAGTTACCTTGCCTTTCTATCCATCTCTCTCTCTCTCTCTCTCTCTCTCTCTCTCTCTCTCTCAGTATCTCCCTCAATTTTTTAGCATTCTTTTACAATCCGACATACCATAATGCATAGTCCGGACTGAGGTCGTAAAATAATAAAAAAGTGTCCGTTTGCGGACCGTATTCGGAATGATAAACAGCCAATAACCAGTATACACACGCACTTTGCATGAAGATCGTGAAATAACGACTTGTTGATATTAGTATTTAACGCAAGTTTGGAATATAATAAAAAGAAATGATTTCCAGTCGAAGAGCTACGTGCCAGTTGACACACATTTATCGTTCGTGTACTTTGCATGTGTGAAGAATATGTAAAAACAAACGAAGACAAAGCAAAAATCATAAACACACATATAAGCATAGGTTTCAAGACATAAGCAGCTTTCGTACACCAAAGCAATACACAGACATTAACTTTACGCCGAACGAAAAAAATCAGCCATTTCGTCGATGTAAAGCCAGAATACATTGTCGTTTTTCTTATTTTTTTATTCTCTCTTTCCTCTTTTCCATGGTTAGGTTCGATGCACACACACCCAAAGAGTTGGCCGTTGAAACGATAACTACAATCTACATACGTATACATACACACCATATGAAATTAAACCTTCAGTTTACTAACGTTCAAAACATTCTTTTTAAATCTGCTGGTTTTCTTTTCTATTGGATTTTTATTTTATTGCGCGGTACCCACCAACTCAAACACACCAGTCCGTAAAACAAGTCCAACAACCGAAATCGAATAACTTTATTCTGGTGCGAACCTTTACAAACGGAAGATCATTCTTCTTTTTAAAGATCATTGTTTACGTGGAGAATTTAAAGTGATTTATTTCTTTTGCATTTACGAAAAGAGAAATTATTTTTTATATTTTTTTAACAAAACTTAAAAGTGTTTTTTCAAACAAAAAAAATGCATTCCATTCGAAAAGTGTACGCGAACCCGAATCTAATAAGAAATATTTGCTCGGTGAGAGGTGTATGTGCGTTGAATGTTGTCGGCGATGGAAAGAAAACAATGTGGTCCACAAATAAGGTTTGTTTGCCAATGAATTATTTCGTAATACTTCAGGTGTTTACCATTTTGGTAAATAAAAAAGTACGCATGGAAGTGTGAATTTTCTTCAATTTTATTATTCGATTTAAACGATATACATTTTAAGTATATTTTTTACTCGTTTCATCACTTGACTTTGTTGGATCGGTTGTGATATGATATTTTATAATTTATTCAATTTTCAAATGCCAAGACGTGAACCGAAAATAAATATGTCATATTTAAAGCCATCAAAATGTTGGCATCAATACACGTTCGGTGATCCTAACCACAATTCAACGCATATTTATTGTTTTAGATTCATTTTTGCACACTCTTCATTTCTCAATGTTCTGCAACCGATCGCAGATAATGAACTTCTACTTATACGTACACTTACATTTACAGCCGGCTCCGACTATTTCAGTTGTAATTATTTCCATTTTCAGCGTATGAATACAGTAAAAGTGGGACAAAAGTGCTTTATTTGAATCAACCAATACATAATAAGCTGCGCTGATAGCTATTCGACGGTGTGCTATGTTCTTTTTTGAATAATATTTGAACAGTAAAGTTGATTGCAACGTATGACTTTTGTTGATAAACACCGTTTAACTATAGTTGTATTGTAATGAAAAAAGTCGGCTTTAGATTTAGAATGTATAAGAAGAATTCTGCTACGCATTAGCTCTTACATAATAATTAAAACGTTTCACTTTCATTTTACTATTTGTGATAAGAAATGTTATTTTTGAAATTAAAAAAAACTGCAATTGAATGACTTGTGATTGTATAGCATTTCGGTTAATATTGCTGTGTGACGAAGTTCACACATATGTAAATTAATCTGGACGAAAATTCAAAACAAAATTCAACGTAAATTTGGCAATGTGGAATTTTTTTTCCTTTTACGTCAACTTTTTTAATCATTTAGTGGCTCTGTCTTTCTATATATAGATTTTTTGATTTAAACTTGTTGTCCAATGAACTGTGCGATCGATTAGTTACGTGACCGCAACCAGGTTTGCAAAATGTACAGTTTTATAATTGCATGTGACGATCTCATGTGATTTTATGAGAAAAATCAGTAGACATAATATCAAAATCTCTTGTTTACAGTGTAAACTTTACACAAACATTTCAACTCACCCAATGAAAACGGCTATTTTTGTGTATACATGCGTACCGACACATTTAGAATTATAAATGACATTAATTCTACTTTACAATTTGTAGATAACGCTCGACACCCGTCTGCGTGCTATTGATAAACACCGACAAATTATCTGTGTAATTATCATTGGAGAGTGATATTGCCCAATTCATTTGTCGAACACATCTCACTTTTAACTTTGATCACAACGTATTTTTTTCGCAAAATATTGTATTCCGGGTCTTATCACATAGCTACAACAATATTTTTATACTTGAAAGATTTATATTATTTTTGTTAATGTGAGATAAATATGTTCATTTTTATGACTTTCAGAAAAACATTCAAAACTACTCTACAATCACACCGATTATGAAGGACGTATCTTCGGTTCAAATAGTAAACAATGCATTGACACGTTTCTATTCGAAATCAAAATCAACAAAACATCATCGTGAATATATATCAGATTCGGACTCAGACTCTGATTCAGACGATGAAAAACCTAAAGGCAAAGGCAAAGTTAAAATTGTAAGTGATTCTAATGCTTTAATTTTAATCTATGTTTATTTTTTTTCACGAAATTTTTTGTTCTCTCTCAATAGGGCGATAGTGAATTTTGGCGTCGTAAAATCCGCACACTTCATAGTGTACTTGATGTAAATAATGATGGTGTCATTTCGTATGATGATTTTCAAGTGTTGGCTGAAAACTTCATTGCATTGGGACATTTAAAACCAGACGATGAAAAAGCATTCCGTGATGAGCTCAAAACCGTTTGGGAAGCACAGTTTGGTGAAATTAATCCGTACAACTTGGTCAATGCTGAACAATATTTAACCGAAATACATGTTGCCGTCAATGATAAATCGCAACGTGATAGAATTCATGCATTTTTGCCATATTTATTCAAGGTTTGTTCACCTTTTTTTCTTTAATTGTGACCATTTGGTTAGCTTGACAAATTAAAATCAATTGATTTTTGTTGTTTATGCTGGCGTTTTCACTTTTAATGGAGTCTTCATTAGGAAGGCGATACAATTTATAAACAAACACTTAAAAGTATGAATGGCTACTTAAACACATTGATAAAAATGTAAAAAAGACACATTCCGATCGAAATCAATTGATTTTAATTGTTTAAGGGTATCCAAAACATTCATTGATTGTTGTGACATTTAATATAATTGTATAATTCAATTGATTTGTTTTTTTAGGCTGTGGACAAAGATCATTCTGGCTTCATTTCGCTCACCGAATACAAATTATTCTTCAAATGCGTGGGATTAACACCAGAAGATGCAGCCGTTTCATTTGCTGTGATTGATAAAAATGGCGATGGAAAGTTGTCAATCAAAGAATTTGTTAAATTAGGTCGTGAATACTTTTTGACCGAAGATGAAAAGCGAATATCGCGAATGTTTTGGGGACCATTGGTCAGCGACCACTGACACATCAAGCAATCTACTGTTTTCCTTTTTTGATATTGTTTAAATTTTGATATTTTCCATTCGCTCGATTCATAATGGAGCGAAAATATTGTAATGATGATATTTAATGCTAGATTTTACCGCACGTACCACACTGTATGAATAACATGTAGAATTTAATTGACCGAATGAAAATCGGATTTCCGTCAATTATTCACTGGTGTTCTGATATTTCGAATTTTAATGGCACTCGTCTCAGTGTCGTCGTCGATACATTATATGAATGAATATATATTTTTGTACCAATCAAGCGAATTATGACGAATTGTACTACGTACATTACTATAAAGGGACAGTTATTTCTGAATAAAATTTAAATTCATGTAAATATTTATGGTTTTTCCTTTTCTACAAATTAAATGTGTTATATCGACGTTTTGAATGTATGTAAGGTGCAAAAGTGAGCTGAACAACATGTTGCATCGATTCAAATTTTAAAGCTAGTTTGAAAGCCGTGTATGTGGGGACGGTTGGATTTTTATTCAAAACGACTATGCTCAAACCCATTACAGTTTTTGAGTTGGTTGTAAGGTTTTCAGATCTTGATCCAAAATTGGAAATGCGTCAACAATAACAGAGAAAAAAATAACAAAAGTTAAATAACAAAAGAGCCAATGACATTTTTGTACGAATATTGAATGTTCTTTATTCAGTTGGTATTTCTTAAAAATGTTTTGTTTTAGTTGCACAAAGGGCAAGAGATAGATATACGTAATAAATATCCAAGAGTGTACATGCCTATTTTAAAACAATTAATCAGTATTTTTTTTATATAATCTATTATTAAGTTAGGATTACAACAGAGCTTCACATTAAATGGTTGCTTCAATAATGGCATTTATGCAACATAACAAAAAATAAACACAAACCGAAAAATTAGATTAACCCATGAATGAATAAATTCAATGAAAAAAAGAGAACTGATTGAATCAAGCACTTACACCAAAATTTGACAACTCTGTGATATGACTGAAACAAATCTAAATTATCACAATTAATTAGGATGGTAACACAACGACGAACAAATTAACCACGTTTAACGTTGAACAATCACATAATAAGTTAAATTGTTATAACAAAAAAAAATATAGATATCAGGGATTGTTCCTCTGAGGAGGAGAAAAATGAGGAGGAGGAGGAGAGCGAGGAGGGTCCTCCTCCTCAAGTGAGGAGGAAAATGTTTTTAGCTAAAAATGACATTTTTGTGATAAAAATAACCCTTTGAGCAAAAAAAACTTTTCCTCCTCACTTGAGGAGGAGGATCCTCCTCATTTTCCTCCTCACCATTCCTCCTCCTCAGAGGAACAATCCCTGATAGATATCCTTATTAAATTACTAGTTATTATTTTTTTTTTGTATGAGTGAGAGTGTGCTTTAGATTGTGCTAACGAAGTTTTGAGTTTCGTTCACATATCCAAATTGCTACAGACTATATAAATTACGAGAGCATGTCTCCACTTTAATTTCACTTTTATTTCACTCCGTTTATTAGGTGTAAATATACTATGATTAAAGCTGACTGCATTGATTATTAGTTTTGGATTAAATTGGATGTTGCACTATTGGGAATCGACATCGAAATGGCCGTGTTTAAAGGCAATGATGATATTGGTGATGAGGTCACGCTTTCATCAAGAGCGGTTGTATTGGTAACAGCAGTGGTTAGGCTGGCTAAAAGTGTTGCCAATGTGGAGACAGCAATTGTGGATAAATTGGAACGTGTTGTTTCCGGTGATGAAGTGGATAGAAACGTTGAGAGCGCTGTGGTTGTGGATTGTGTTGTTGCCAATGTTGTTGCCGCTGCTGTTGTTGATGATGTTGTCGCTTTTAAAGTGGTAACAATTGTTTGAATAGTGGTACTGGGAATGTAAGGATATGTTGGACATTGTCTTGCACCAATTGGCGGTCCAAGCATACTGTCAAAAACATAACCAATCAATGAGCCGGCTGTTAATCCAATATTATATGATAGTGTCATCATATTTCCAGTGGCTTCTTTTAGGGTTGCTGGTACCTTGCTGGGTGCAAACATCATCGGCAACGACCCGGCTAAGCCATTTGTTATACCCAATGCTGCTGTGAAAATAAATGCAGGCGTTTCACCTTGAATCACTGGTTGTGATCTTGGTGCACAGCATAACAATAACAGTGGTACTAATGCAACACGTAATGTAGACAACAGTATCAATTGACGTCTAGACCATGCATACGGAATGGATGCCATTACCTGTAATAATAGAAAGCTCAATCAATGATCGAATTGATGCAAAAAAAAAAATTCAAATGTAATATACCTTTCCGATGACATCCGACGTATTAAACATAAACATCAAAAGAACTGGCATCCAACTTTTTAAATTGCACGAAATAATTTCGGATTCGATGCCCGGATATAAGGATAATGTGACACAATATGCAAGCGCAATGCAAACCATATATGGATAAATTGTTTGTGCAACTCTCCATCTTGAATCGAGGCCACTGCGGAAACTGCCAAAACGTCGATTGCCTGCTGTACAGCTGGGTGCAAGCACATGTTCAACTTTGAATGCAACATTTGGTAATGGATCGGCGCTCATTGGCGGTGTAGTTGATGCAATCAATGATTCAGGCAATGCATTCAATGTGTCCATCGCATTTTCGCCAGCACTTGGATTCGATAATTCATACACCGGATTACTAAAACTGAGACCGGTTGTTTCAACTCCAGATTCTGTATTCATTGATGTTGCCAAATCCAATTGATTTAGTGTGTAATGCTTGTGATTCTTATTCTTTGGCAAAACATTATATTTGGTATTTAATGCTGAATTTTCCATTAGATCTGACTGTGTAATCAAACAAAAAAAAAATACATTTTAATAAAGAAAAAAATTGGAATCCAGTTCCATTGTATGTTAAAATTTTGATTGTAGCTTACCAAAACACGATCTTCATCAGGCCGAAGAACAATTTTCGAGCATACCTTCATGTGATAACGGACAAACGGTGAATGAATTGTGGTTGAATGCAATACATAACTGAATGCAATATAAATGGTTGATGTTAAGAAGAAAACAACCGTTGACACTTCATCGCTTGATATGACTAATTTGATGGAAATGCGAGTGCTGGCGACTAAAAGACCAGCCAAACTCTCTCCTGCCATAACGGCTTGTGTGTATTTTTTTGGAAACATGCTGGCAAATCCATAAAAACTGGACTGTTGTATTGTACAACCGATGGCTGTCAATGAAACGGCCACCAAATTTACGGAATATGCAGTTTGAGCGGTAAACATGTGCCACGCCACTTCGCATAATGCTACAAATACAAGTGTACTCAATGAAACGCAATAGCCAAATATGATGCGCGCTTTGAAAGAGAATAGCGACAGAAATAAATTATTCAACAATACAGTTGCAAATGCAACGATAATATATGTCATTGACATATCCAATGCCACTGAATGTCCGGGAAATCGTTCTTGCCAATAATCGGATGCCATGATGAAACTAAAAAAAAAATAAAAATCCAAATGCAAATATTAGCACACACACACACAAATACACGCACAGTGCAAGTGTAAAATCATATAAAAAGATCACCTGTTATATGGTAAGACGAAACCAATTCCAGCCGCGATCAGAGCAATGTATAATATACCATTGCGATCTTGTGGTGGTGATGTTTCAATATCTGGGCTGTCGGTTGATTCGAGCCGATTGCGTCGACTTGCTTCCAACGGTTCATATGTGCTTTCCTGGTTTGGCTCCATGTCCATCATATTTTATATGTGTTTGTAATAAAAAAAATTCTTTTTTTTTACGAATGTGCGAAGCAACTACATGTATATATACTAGGTTGATTTTAGTGCAAATGTTTATTCTGAATTTGATGAATGAAATGCAGTTGTCTTTCGACTGTAGTTTTCAAATTTCATTTGCTGTCTCTGTATGGGAGAAAGAAGAATACCAAATAAAGGTAATCGAATATGATACAATCGCAGAGGAGGGATCGTATAAGGTGTGTGTGTGTGATTTGATTGATGTGGATTTTCAGTGTTTTGCATAAATAGAAACGTTTCCTTTTGCATATAAATTGGTATTTCAATATTGTATTTTTCAATCACATAAAACCATTGGCATGATATTTGCAAAGAGACGTCGCAATTTTGCGTGTGGTATTTCAATTAAAATCGCATAGAATTAAATTCGATTTAGATATATATGCCACTCATATTTTATGTTTTCACTTAGAATGTACGTTCGAGAAGGATAGCGACGATGAAGCAATAAATACAAAACAATAATATTGACGCTACTCAACCACACACACGCACACACTTACACAACGTTCTCACGAAGAAATAAATATATCATGTGATTATATATGATGTTTTTTTTTCCTTTTTGCGTATTATATTTTGCACTATAGCCATTTTCTCATCCAAAATTCGATTTATATAATTCGAAATCGATTCTTGTATTTTATACATTATGCAAATAAAATCGTCATATTCCAATGCCATTTCAGATGAAAGAGAGAAAAAAATCGAAGGCAACCCTTATACATTGACAAAAGCACCTATTTTAGCCTGAGACACTCGTTCAATCAAAATCACCCATTTTCCAAGTTTATTAAAAGGACACGTTGCAACACTTCTTGCAATAAAAACCACGGTGCGATGTCAGAAACTATTTTTAATCACACAAAAAGTAAGAAAAAGGCCCAAAGAATAGAAAATACACTCACTTGCAAGGCTTTAATCCAAGTAAAGCTCTTTGTTGTTTTTCGGTAGTTGGGAAAATTACACACTCGCATTAGGGCAAACTTTTTTTTTTCACTCGAAACGATTTGAAAACATGTTTAAACAATTTTAATCGATTCAATTGGGAAATGTCATTTCAAGAAAAAACATTCTTTCTAAAGAATGTGATTAAAAGAAATTGATTGACCCGAACATACAGCCGAATCACTTCAGCGTGTTGTTGATACTCGTTTTGACATTAATTATGATTTTTCAGCATTTCTTTAACATTATCAATGTATGTGTGCATGTGTTCACAGATGTTTGCACACATGAAGTGCCTGTACTGTAACATAACCGACGTCTGCGCATTACATTTCACTCATCAAAATTTTCATCATTTCTCTTTTAATTTGGCACCATCAAAAGTGGCATCTATCGGCGACTAGTAGAACGTGAACATTGTCGTTATTGAATGTGTTTTAAAGACGATTGGGATTTGTTTTATCAGTTACACTGTAGGATGTTGGAGCGATCAGCTGTTTTATTTCAATATTTTTGTTGAACACAGCATCGTAGTAATATCAAACATGAATGAAACGAAGGAGATCACAACAAAAAATGAGTCACATTAAAGTTGGGTCAATACACTGAGACATGAGCGGCGCTTCATCTTTCACACACGTATTTTTTTAATATATGATAAGAGTCCTACTTAGACAATTTTATTTTTGGAATAAAAACAGAACTGCAGTGAACTTGGCCAAAAATGTAACACGAAATCATTCAAGCAGTGAAAGAACACTGTTCCGGATTTGATTATTTGACTTTTCTTATCATGAAATTAGAATATATGGAGATGATGTTGGAAGTTGTAATCGTTTTGGACCGATGAAAAATTGAAACATTTACTGGACCCATGGTGATAAGCTTTGACCGAATTTAAATAAAATGTTGATTATTGAATGATTTTGGTCTGATTACGAAATGAATTGAATTTAATAGAAGAAATGGATGATGCTTGGAAATTGTTGAACAGTTTGAACGAAAGTCAATTAAAGGAAGACACTTACGAATTATTCCCAATGAAATTTACTATCTAGAAAGAAATGAACAATTTAATACCAGTAATTAACTTGAAAAAAATCGACAGAGACGGGAATAGTTATTATTTACCTAAATTCGAAGCCAAGAAATCCAGTGGTGATAACCGTTTTTCTCGATTGGATTATTTCTTCATACGAAGCTTTTTTTTATTTTTATTTTGGCCTATTCTGGGGGACTTTGTGTCCCCTAATCGATTTTTGTGAAAATAAGTAAAATGCAGTTTTTTGGCACGAGAAAGTCTAATCTGACATTCATTTTGCGATACGATGAAATTTGGTTACTTTTCCCATACGAAAATCTGTAAAAATCACAAAAATTGAATTTTTACCACTTTTTTTCAAATATTGAATTTTCTCATTATAAATCACTTGATATGTAATCAATACTATATAAAAACGACAAATTCCATTCATTTACAATCAGTTTTATGTGTTTATGTAACTTATAATTATTCTTATTCATTTAATTATAATACTTTCACTTTAAAAAAAAATGATTACACATTAAATATTCGATATTAAAAGAATAACGACAATAATTCACAGTTTATTTACATAATAAATATAATCATAACTGTTTGATATTTTAACTTTGTGTCCAACAAATACATACGAAATGTATACGAAAATTGAGTCGCGAGCTTGAATTAAAACAAAAGAAAGGATGAATGTCCGACTTGTTTGTTTTGAAATAGTCTCAAAAAAGTATGGCTATGTAAAAAGATGTGATAAGAGTTGGCCATTTCGACATATATTTTTGGATGCTGAAATAATCATTTAACTCCACAAAAAAATTGCCTTTCCGGGCATACTTAACGGGCATTTTGCTTTTTTATTAAATTTCAATATTTTCGGTTATCAAAACAGTTCTTATTTAAGCTCCGGTATCAAAACAGAGATCAACGCATATACTAAGTTGAAATATTATAATAATGAGCGATCAAGTAGCGAAATGTTCATTTGGTGTCCAGTTCTCAAAGCGGAAACAAGTGGAATAATTAGTAAAATTAAATTAAAATTGTGAAGTGATCTTTTGTGAGTTTTATACTCATAAGTGCAGTGATAAATACAATTTTTTTTTACTGAAAAACATTGATTTAAGGTAAAAACTCCTCGAGAAAATTATTTTTATTGCAAAGAATTAAAGTTTCTTCGTTTTTCACGCCACTTTTGAGGACGTTTTATTCGGGTTTTTTCTCAACCGGAAGTGACACGTACACAACAAAAAAAAGTTTATTACTGAAAATGATTGCATTTTATCAATGAAAAAATTGAGAAAATAGTAAAATATAGTGATAATATCATGTCATTGATGCGAAAAATGTATTTCTGAATCTTATTTTCAACAGTTTTTGATGATTTTGTTCGATTAAAAATAAAATTCAGTTAGTGTTGAAGTTGTAGTTCATATTTTTGTTGTTAAACATCGGAGTCTAGTTTTAAAGAGAAAAACTTACATTTTTCCAGCAAAATATTAAGAAAAAAAATTTCCTGCCAATTGGAAGTCTTTCGAAATTGTTGTTGTTTGTTTTCTAATTTGTGGTTTATTAGATTGATCTGAAAAATGTGTCGGATGTGTTAATCTTAATATATTTCATTATGTTGATTTTCCAGTACTCTTCATGTTTTTAGTGTGCAGCAGCTTTCCGTAAAAATGTGTCTAATCTAATCGTAGTTGTTTCGCAATTGAGAAAACGAGAGAAGGAAATAAATAGAATAGGAAGTGAAATGGCGAAATTAAAAACGCTTTTGATATGTTTGGTGGTGTTGACCATAGTGACATCAAGTTTTGCCGAGAAAATTAAGAAAACGGTTCAAAAAAAGCCCGGAACAGTTAAAAAGGCAGTAAAGAAAACACAATCTGACGCACCGTTGCCACCCAAGCAGAAATGTATGTGTAACAATTTTACGCAATGTGTATAGAGAGAACTTTTTTAAAGTGAATGAGACAAGTGATGTTGACCGGTTATGTTGCTCGAAATTATCAGGACCGATGTGATAAGCGCATTTGTGTTAGCCAAAAATCAACCGAAACAATTTCACATTTGCCCTTTAGGTAATACATATGGCTTACAAGCGATAAAAACAAATGCCATATTATAACTAAACTGTCGCTGTTTTAAATTCCCTGGTGTCACGGCCCTTTATCATGTTTTGTTCAAATTTAGCGACTCGCAGCTGACCGAATTCATTCGTTTCTTCGTTTCGGGATTTCGTTTGTTTTATCGTCAAATTCACTTGTTTCGACACTTTTACAAATTGATCATTAAAGATTATTGAGAATAACTCATTTAAAAAAATGAATTTCAGTGCTTCGTGATGAGGAATATGATGATGGAGATTATTATGATGAAAATATAGGTAAATTGGCAACAATTTCTTTTTTCAAATATTTTCTAACATATTTATAATATACACATAGATCCCAATGAAGTTGGCAAACAACCACCGCCCACTAACAATGGACAAACCGAAACAGTAGTCGGAGGTACCATAACATATTTTGAATATTTAATCATTTTGATTAGAGTAATTTTTTTTATGATAATTTAATAGGCAAACCATCAACTAAACAAAGTGAGGCGGTTATTGGTAAATTCCTTTTTTGCTTTTATTTTCATTGAACATTGGACAAAAAACCAAACCACTTTGTTTCGAATTGCAGCGCCATTCCTTTGTGAATATGAGGGTAAACGTTATCGAAACCTTGAAAAGTTCAATGGTGGCGCAAATGGATGTGCCCAATGTATTTGTATTGAGGGCCAAGTGAATTGTGATGAATCAAAGTGTCAAATTTTGGTGGAACCACCGGAAGTGCCAAACGTAAATGTACCACAGTCAGGCGGTCAACAGCCACCAGTAACACCAAAGACAACAACAACAACAACATCCAAACCAGCAACTGTCCGACCCGTCACACAAGGAAGTGAAAAAGGTCCATCGCCTTCAGAGCTCGCATACTATGCAAGTCGTTTAACCGATGCTAATATTAATTCACAAAAGGGTCCACCCGATTCGGTATCATACTATCCAGAACAATTACAATATTTGCAAGCTCAACAAGGTATCCCCGTCAACATTTTCAATTCAAAAAATCAGTGTGTATATTTCAAATATTTTCAACCATTCTGATAGGAACACCTGGTGTGCGAGGACCGCCCGGTAAATATTTAATATGTTATATAGTGCAAAAACTGTTTATTATTTTGTTTTCAAGTGCATTGTTTTAATATGATCACAATTAAATTTTTAAGGATCGCCCGGTCCGATGGGACCTCCTGGCCCAGGTGGGCCACCAGGCGAACCAGGTATGTATCTGTGAATGTACAATAATGAAAACAATGCAAAATAATAATATTGGTTTTTTTCTTGGATGTTTAGGCTTGGCTGGACCACCGGGACCTCCGGGAAGAAGCGTAGCTGGAAACCCCGGTAAAATAAATTTGAAAACTATTATATAATACAATAATACAAATAAATTTCTCAGTGTGGCTAATTTGATTGATTTTCATATAAATGTTCAAATAATCGCACTTTGCAGTTTGGGACATTAAATCTACTATAATCATCTTATTTTGTTCAAAACCTAAAGCATAAAATTCGATTTGGAGAATTTGAAACCTATATTTTTATGTATTCGTATAGGAAAGGATGGAGCTCGAGGCGAAGACGGAGAAATTGGATTGCCAGGCGTAGCTGGAGCACCGGGACCGCGCGGGTTACCCGGAATTCCCGGTGAGTTTTTTAATTGCTTCCTGTTTATTATATCAGGTCGGGTTTTTAATTGATATTAAAATATTCATATGATTATCAGGAATACCTGGAGCGAAAGGACATAGAGGTTTTGCTGGAAGTGACGGCGCAAAGGGTATGAAATTTTCTAACATAAAATCGTCATCGAACTAAAATTAATTTTAAATATCTGGCTATAAATAGGCGACCAGGGAGAAAAAGGCGCTCAAGGGATTGGTTTGCCAGGACCTATAGGACAACCGGTAAAATCGGTTTTTGAATCACCGAAATTGAGTGAAAACTAAACTTTTCTTTGTAAACAGGGACCAACGGGCCGCGGAATTGACGGCCAGCCAGGTAAATTACTAATCTATGCATTATTCGAAAATGTGAATAATTATCATGATATTTTGACCATGACAGTTACTCAAGACCTTATTCTCTTGATTTACTACATGTTCCTATTATCGATTATGTTGGAGCCACGAATAATGTCAAGTTTTTGTAAAGCTCTAATCAAATACATATATTAATTCAATTAACAGGTCCACGCGGAATGGACGGCCAGGTTGGCCAGCCTGGACCAGCTGTAAGCTTTACCTTCACTAATTCACTAAATATTAACTATTTACTGATAATTTCAGGCAATATATTGAACTAACTGGTCAGTTGAGCTGACAGTACGTTAGCCAGCTAAATGGACTAAAACAATAGAAGTTATTGTTATCCAACATTAAAACAATAACGTCTATTGTTTTAGCCCATTCAGCTGGCTAACGTACTGTCAGCTCAACTGACCAGTTAGTTCAATATATTTACTGATAATTTCTACTTATTCTTTATAATAAAAAAAAGGGTCCAACTGGAAAAACGGGGTTGCCGGGCTTCCCTGGTGCACCAGGTAAAAATCGATTTAATCCAAACCAACACACGAAATTAAAATCGAGTAATTGGTACGAACATATTACTCTAACGTATATACTATAGTAACCGAACTTAAATTCAAAATGATTTTTGTCATCTAGTGTGTTACAGTATTCCATGTAGTCAAATTGCACAAAACGAAACAGTAGTAATTACGATATTAATTTTGTGTGAATATTTCGATGCAAAAATAGCCTCTTTTCAATTTGAATCTTGAAAATTCATTCTGTAGGATTACCTGGCGCCGCCGGATTAACTGGCGCAAAAGGCGAAAGCATACAAGGTAAGAAAATGTAGTTGCAAATATGGCTAAAAATCAAAATAAAAAAAATCAATATTTGTTTCGGAAAAAGGTCCAATGGGAGCGAAAGGAGAAAGAGGTGAAGCAGGAAAAGACGGTTCGGATGGAAAAGATGGAAAAGATGGTCAAAAAGGACATGCAGGTGAGGATTTGTTTGTCGTAAGAAACCATACTTCGTTTGATCTTACCTCATTAAAACTTTGATTGAACTATTTGCATTCAAATCAAATAGTTTTTAAATTGGACAATAAATATGGTTTGCTATTAAAAAAAACATGGTAATCGCATGGCAAATTTACTAATCCACATGACCTTAAAAACATAAAATCACATGCTTTCACAAGTTCAATGTGACGTTCATTATAATTACATTATATTTATTAACATATTTATCGATATTGAAATTGACTCATTATACGCATTTTTTAATTTATTTTACATGAAATAGGATTGCCGGGAACTCCAGGACCAATCGGTACATCTTCTTTTTTTATACACTATATGTCATATTTTTTCGTAAACCTTTAAACACTTATTATGTTTCGCCTCTTTCAAAAAAGGTTTTCCTGGTCAGCGCGGACTCGCTGGAGCAGACGGCCTGAATGGAGAGCCTGGACATCCAGTAGGTTGAACATAAAAAAATTATATTTAAATCATATTTGCAGGGTTATCAGATTTGAGATCAAATAATTTGAAAAATCAACAAATCATTCAACTTAAATCAATTATTTAACAAGTTAGATGTACAAGTCGGGCATGTTTGATAAGTTGACTGAATTTTGCATCTTGAACAAGCCGTTTCTCATCTTCAAGTGTAGAAACCGTTGCTTTCAATAATGACATTTATTCGGCCAACTTCTTGTAATCATTGATATTTTAGTTTTGTGGCTGAATTTGTGCGGCAAGTGCTTGAATTTTGATTTTGCTGCATTTTGGCATGTTTATCATTCCAAAATACATTAGGTGAAATCAAATCTGTTCTTCTCAAATAAATTGATCTCATTTTTGTTTTTGACTAGAAATATACAAATAAATGTGTCCAATGACGAATTTCAGGGCCCACCAGGTGAGCGTGGAACTAAAGGAGAAAGAGGTGACAGAGGTGATGTTGGTCCTAGCGGAAAAACGGGCAATCCCGGAGAAATGGGCCCCGAAGGCCAACGTGGCAAAAGAGGGTGAGTAGTTTTATTAGAAGAACTTTTTGGAACCAAAAAATACTGTTGAAACTACTTGTCAACTTTGTGACAATTTGCATAATTCACATGTGTTGTTTTGTCATTTTATTTACAATGGTTGATTTTTCATTATAATATGACTTCAATGAGGTTACTTGATTTTTATTAAAATTACTGAAATATTCTTTTAAAAAAAACAAATAGAATGCGAGGTCCGATCGGTTTACCAGGTAATAAAACTAACATTAAAACACTTCAAACAAGATACGAAAATGAAGAATTAATCATATAAACAACTTTTATTTCATAAAAAGGCCCACAAGGTGAGCGTGGTGCAAATGGATTTGGTATGCCAGGAAATGAGGGTCCAATGGGTCCGAAGGTAGGTCATTAATAAATAGAGAAAACAGTAAACAATTAAATAAATTAATTCATCAATTAAACAGGGATCACAAGGATTACCAGGTAAGGTTCGACTTTGTTAACAATTATTGATTCAAATGAAAATACAAATAGTTTTTTCTATTTTCAATTTTATTTTAAATATACTATGCTCTTGAATTCATATAAAGGTGCTCAAGGGCCCATTGGAGAGAAAGGATCCACTGGAGAAACGGGCCCTCAAGGGCCAATCGGTTTGCGAGGCCCGCCGGGCAAAATTGGAGCACCTGGCATGCAAGGAGAACGTGGCCCCATTGGAATAGGGAAACCAGGCGAAATAGGTAGGACGTTTTTTTTATAACACATTAAAATGATCAATAATTATAACTCAATACTGTACAAAATATTCACACATATACACACTTCTATGCGATATTCAGTCCATTGCAAATGAATTCAGGTTGATAGCGATAAAGTGACTTTTTCATTCCAAAGTGTCATTTTGGTCCAAAATAAATTGAAACATCGTATGGACGTCTCTAACAAACAGGATATCATATAGGAGTGTGTGAACTCAGTTTACTGACTAGAATTAATTGTTTTATTTCTCTTTTCTATTTATAGGACCCCAAGGTGAAAAATATGATTGAACATTTTAATTTGATTGATCAAGTTGTAGCGACATAAATTATTTATAAAAACAGTTTATATAAAAAATGTATTGCTTGTCCAAAAATGGCATAGTTAACTGTTACGTAAAAAATTGATAAAAGTGACGGATCTATTTTTTTGGATTTTTAAAGCAATAATAAGTATTTTTATCAATATTTGGATTATTATATGTATTTGGCAATCTATTGCATATCGTTAATAAAGGTATACAAGGGATGCCTGGACCGATCGGTCTTCCTGGTGACAAAGGCGTGGGAGAGCGTGGGCCGATTGGTGAACGCGGGCCGATTGGTAAGTTCAATGTGAAGATTTTTTCGCCATTTCTTAAATTAAAATGGGAATATTTATAATAAACAGGCCCAGCCGGAGAAAGAGGCGAACCCGGCCAACGCGGCGAAGCTGGAGAAAAGGGTGAAAAGGGTGAAGGAGAAAGAGGCGAACCCGGTTTAATAGGCAAGTAAAATTTTGTTCAGCTTTGAGATTTTTTTGGCAATTCCGTAATATTGAAATTCCATTTTTGTGTTTCTTCGAAAAATCGATAGGTCCCAGAGGATATTTGGTAAGAGGAACACCATATAAATTTGCTTTCTTTGTCATCCAATTTGTGTTTGACAAATCTTAATAATTAATTTTTTTACATATTTCTATGTTGTAAATAGAAGTCTCACTTTCGTTCACGGACATTCATATAAATTTCTACAATATTTGAAATATAATTTTTTGTTTTAAATGCTTTTCAGGGTTTACCAGGAGCGCAGGGAAATATTGGACCTCCTGGAGCACCTGGATTAGTTGGACCACCAGGGCCAATTGGGCCGATCGGGCCCAGAGGAATTCGTGGAGAGGTAAGTTGATAACTAACTTCATTTATATAAATCTCGCTTATCAGCCAAAAAATATGAAGATTTGACTATGAGTTCGCAAAATTATAAAATTTCATTTATAAACTTATAGCGCGGAGAAATGGGAGAAAGAGGCCAAATCGGTTTGACTGGAGCTAATGGCACGTATTCATATGAATTGTTCTGTTTAAATGTGATCAATTGCAAGTTTTAATGTATTAACTAAAAAATATTTCTGTGATCATATAGGTCTGAAAGGAGAAAAGGGCGAAACAGGAAATACAGGAGCACCCGTAAGCTATAACAAAATTATAGAATTCATTGTTTTACAAGTACTTATGTGTCAACAATATTATTTATAGGGAATACAAGGTCCAAAGGTAGATATGCAATAATGAACGAATTTAAATCGAAAGTATTATCGTGTTTTCGTCTTCATATAATATTACTAGGGTCATACTGGAATTGGATTGCCGGGACAAAAGGGAGATAGAGGCAAGTTAAAAGAATTTATAATTTTGGGCTTCGGACTTCGCGCGAATACTATTTTGCGTTTTTTTCTTGTTATGATTTGTAAATTTTTTGATTTGATTACTTTAACCAGGCATTCAGGGTATTCGAGGAGAGATTGGGCTACAAGGAATCGAAGGACAACGCGGCGAACCTGGTTTGTATTCAATACGTTTTCTAATTTATGTTATTTGGTAAATTGGATCTGAATACGAAACATACTTGCAATGATTTACATTTTTCTAAAACTAATATATTTAGAAAAGTAAATCCGGCTCCTTTTTGAAACGAATCTGATGCACATATTTCGAAACAGTTCCATTTTTTTTACTTTCCTCTTCATCATTATTTATAGTTTTTATTATTGAAAGCATGAAACGCATTATTTATGATAAGACTTATTTTATAATGTTAATGAATTATTCATTTTTCAGGTCTTCCCGGTCCGATTGGCCCAATTGGTCCGATCGGTGAAAGAGGACCGATCGGCGAGGGCATTCCTGGTGCCCCGGGGTACATTTACATTTTTCTTTAACGCCGTCCCAATTTTTTATCATTTTTATTTTTGTGACTTTTTTAATAGATCACCTGGAGAAATTGGTCCAATGGGAGAGCGAGGGGAGGTATTGTTATGTCAATTTATTTTATACCAAACATATAAAAATTGAATGGGTTAGAATAATAATTTCGACCTCCAATCTTGACATTGACTTAAAATGAATAAGAAACTAGCTCGCGTTGAGAATACATCAAAAAGTTGAACAAGATCGAAAATAAATGTGAAAGATTCAATGCCTTGTTTCAGTATATTTTCTTTTTCAAAGGAAGATTGGAGATCAAAATTATTCTTACCCATTCAATCAAGCATATACTGTGACTTCATAAATTCATTAAAAAAAAAATCCATACTAAAAAACATATTTTTCTTTCTTTAAATTAAATTCAGCGTGGTATTCAAGGCTTGCAGGGACTTCAAGGGTAATTTTCTTATTTACACTGTAAAACCGATCGGATTAAAAACTAAGCCTTTTGAATTTTTTTTATTAAAAATCCAAAAGGATTATCTTTCAAGCCATTGTTATATTTGCATTTACGCTATAATTACATTTAATTTCGTATTTCAACAGTTTTCCGGGAATTCAAGGACCACAGGTAGATATATAATGATGACTGAAATCGAAAGTATTATCGTCTTTTCGTCTTCATATAATATTTTCTCTTTTCTTGCTTGCGCATGTATTTTTTCACTCATTGAATGAAATGATCATTCGACAACCATGTAATATGGAATACAATTAACTCAATCGCAGGGAATAAAAGGTGATAAAGGTAATAAAAAACTTAGCAGAAGTACGGAAGAAGCTAAACTCGCAGAAAATAATGTAAAATCCGTACTTGGTTTCATTAGGTTTAACCGGAGCGAAGGGAGAGGACGGTAGGCAAGGAAGAATGGGTGAAAAAGGTGAAAAAGGTAAATATTTGAATATGAAGGGTTCCTACACATTTTCTACTGGGCTGTTTTTCATTCTTTATTTTATATATTTTAGGTATACAAGGCTTGTCTGGCCCCAAGGGACATAAGGGTGATATTGGTTTTCGCGGGTATATAAATTAATCTTTTAGCCTCCGTAATGATTTAACAAGTTCATTATTTTTTCAAGCATTAGTCTAAGCAAAACTAAGACTAAATCGAAAAATTCGTGTTATCACTCGTGATGCTGATGATAAAGATTTCATTTTGCACTCAATGTCTTAGTTTTGTTTTTAAGTAAAACGCGTGTTTTTTACAAAATAAATTTTAGTTGAATTTAAGAAAAACACGAAAGAAATAATGCGCTTGTGACTTCATTAAAGAGATTAGTAAACATTCCACTGTATATGTTTGCGTCATAATTACAAATTTATTTTTATATAGAGAGCCTGGTCCTGTGGGAGCGCCTGGCCGAGGTGAAATTGGACCACCAGTAAGAACTATTTTATAATAATACAATTTGTAAATATAAATATGTCTAATCTTAGAAAACACAGATCTCTCTAAAGTTTATCACTTGATAGTATGATTCCTTTTACCATCTGTAATCATGTCTGTAATTATGTAAAAGTGGTAAATGCCATTTTACTCTGATTACATTTGATTCTGTCATCTGTGTTTGCTAAGAGTAATTGAACTAACTTTGCACAAAATCAATTGATTTGGTGTAAGATTATCTATAGATAATGAGAGTATTCTATTTATTATTTTTTAATTAAAGGGTCCACAAGGAGAAATAGGCCAGAAGGGGGAAACTGGCCAGAAAGGATCTACCGGCGATATTGGTCCAATTGGCCAAACTGGACCTCAAGGTTGAGATCTGATAAAAAGTATCATTTGCATCTACTATTCTACTAATCGGGGGTTTTGCAATTAAAATAGGTATGCCAGGCGAGAATGGTAAAAAAGGAGATAAGGGATCCGATGGACTTCCTGGCCCAGTTGGTCCTACCGGATTAAAAGGAGCAAGTGGTAAGTATTATTGGCAGTAATTTTTTTCGTGTTTACAAAATATGTCCTTTCAAAATAACGTATTGAAAATGTCGACCAAATTGAAGGCAAAAATCATTTGAAACACTATACACAATATTTTTTTTTTAATTTCAGGCGAACGAGGATTTAATGGCTTACCAGGTAAATATAGTAGCTTCAAAATAAAAATTGATTTTTTAAACAAAAATTGATACATATGGGACTTGCCCTTATGTCAGACTTGTTCTTTGAATTGTTTACTTTCGATGCAAAATTTATTGGGCGTCTTTCTACCTTTTTGAAAGAAGAAAAATTCGGCAAATATATTATTATTTTCATTTTTTTTTCGCCGCAACATCGAAAATCCCAATATTAATTTGAAAAGTCTACTGTTTTAAAAAAAAATTGCTCTTGTACTTTGTTTAGGTGCTCCTGGACAACAAGGAATCAGAGGAATGAGAGGATTGAAAGGCGAAATGGGAAAACAAGGTGAATCAATGTTATTAAATAACGCTTTTAACTTTGAAAGGAACAAAACTTAACAACTCTATTTTTGCTATTCAAAGGAACCGATGGCACGCCTGGTTTGCCTGGATTACAGGTATATAATATCATATATTTGATTAAATATCTTTAAAAAATTATAAATCTATACCAAATACGTACTGATGTTGTTATTTTTATTTCATTATCGCTGTAGGGACCTCAAGGTAAATTGAATACTACATTTCATGAAATTCATTAAATCTCATTTTGAATTGAATTTAATTTCCATTATTAAATCAATAAACATTTTCATAGGCCCGATTGGTGAACCTGGAAGAGAAGGAGCTATTGGTAAATATTCCCATGTGCAAAAAAGTGACTAATAAATTTTGGACTGACTATTGACTTTAAATATAAACAACTTTAGCTACATTTAGTTATTCGTCTTCAAAATAAATTTGGCCAACTATAGTCACTTACAGCCCATAATAATTTGGTCACTTTTCTCCACATAGGTTTTTAGAAAATGAGCTTTCATTTATACTGATTATATGTTTATGAAAATTAAAGGTAAACAGGGTCCACAGGGTCTACAAGGCCGCCAGGGCGAAAAAGGCAACCAAGGTGCATTAAGAATTGAATACTACATTTTGTGAAATTCATTGAATTGTATTTGAATTTGATTTTCATTATTATCTCAATAAATATTTTCATAGGCCCGATTGGAAACCCCGGATCGCCTGGTGTCCAGGTCAGTTTATGTAAAATTTTAATACAAAATATTATATTGTAAAATAAATTACAGTTTCAAGAAGGAAATAATATCTTCTTAATCCACTTCTTCATATCGATACAAATACAGAAGCTTCTAATTAATTATGTTGGTCATTCAAGCATGTAACGAATGTTTACAATTAAACTCAATTACAAAAAGCTCCATTATTATTCTTATATGCAACTAATTCGTTTTCTTAAAAAATGACGTACTTAATAAATAAATATAATTTCTTTTAATTGGTATAGGGAATGCCCGGTCTGCAAGGTTTAGTTGGCCAAACAGGGGAACGTGGTAAGCCATTTTTCGAATAACTGACTATCATTATTTTATCATTGTTATATTAATAATTATTATCAATTTCCAAATCAAGGTGAAAAGGGTTCTCAGGGTAAGCCTTTATTTCGAATAAATGATTATCACATTTTTATCATCGTTATATTAATAATTATTACGAATTCCCTAATCAAGGTGAACAAGGACAAATGGGTAAGTAAACTGACAGTTTTCATGGAGAATTATTATTTAACCACAACATTTTTCTGATGTACCCTACGAATTTCCGTTTTGTATTTTTTTACTAATCTTGTTAATTAAATTGAAAAGGTATGCGTGGAAAGGAAGGAAAAAAAGGCGAAGCTGGTGCAAAGGGCGATCGCGGAGAGATTGGGCTTCAAGGAATCAAAGGCCATGTTGGTCTGCCGGGTGCTCCAGGTTTGAACAATATATAATCATGTATTTTAAATATATTCACAAAATTCAAATTTAATTTGAGTGTCAATTGAAATAAAACTACTCAAAGAGAATGGGTCACATAACAATTGCAAACATCTTTTTATCGTTTTTTTAAGGAGTTCCTGGTATTCGTGGAGAGAAAGGAAATCAAGGAAATGATGGATCAATGGGGCGACAGGGAGAACAAGGTAAAAAATAAAATAAAAAAACTTCTGAATCTATTGTGAAAATAAAAAAAATCGGTTTATAATAGGTCCACGCGGTCCAATGGGATTAACTGGATCACAAGGATTAACTGGCCCAATGGGTGAGCAATATTGAATAATTTTCATTGCATTTTTTTAAAAACTTTACTTTGAAAAAACTGTTGGCAGTCAATAGAAATATTTGGTTATCCCTGTATTGAATATGCATAGATTATTTCGACATGGTTTCCTCTCAATAATCATAAATTCTCTGTTTATAGGTCCACCCGGCCCACCGTGCAGCGATGGTAAACCAGGACCACCTGGCGAACCGGGTAATTGACATGTCTCATTGTTTTTTAGTGGATTGGAGAAAAAGTATCGAGCCTTCGGGGAAAAAAATTTCAAAAAGTGGTCAAAAGTTAAACCGATTAGAACACGAGTGAAATTTCATAGAAAATTCGATGTTTTTTATTTTTAAAATGCGAACCTTGTTATGATGAGCGTGCCCCAAATAGATATTAATATCGCCGCTTTAAAGAAGTACCAAAGTCCTAGCTAAACCATTTGTAGAAGACAATACTCAAAAAATATTTCGACATTTGGGTTTGGCGCGATAAAAATTGAATGGACTGAGTTATCACATGCGGCATGCAGAGATGGCCCGATACATTTTCCTCAATCCAATATAATATCGTAACAAATCAAAAGTTTCGATAAATATTTTAAATAATTTTTTCAGGTCCACCCGGCCCACCGGGCGAATCACAAGGATACGATACAGCATTATTGCAAGCCTTGACAAGTCAAATGTCATCGATCAACAATAACAAAGGCCCAAGCAATATGCAAGAAGATAGTCCAATGAATCGAATATTTTCTGATCAAAAAATATCAATCGAAGAACAACGTAGTCTGCTTAAAAAGGCTTACGAACAACTGAAGCGAAATTTGGAAAATTTGAATAGACCAACTGGTCAAAAAGATTCTCCAGCAAGAACATGTAACGAGCTCGCGTTATCACAACCAGAACTACCATCTGGCGATTACTGGATTGATCCAAATGAAGGCGATAAAAAGGATGCAATTTTGGTATACTGTGATATGCCAAAGAAAGCAACATGCATTCGATCACAACCACAGCGCAGCAATAACATTGTGTACGTCGGTGAAGAGAGAGAAATTTGGTTGAGTGAAGTTCATAATGGAATGAAATTAACATACAAAGCTGAAAGCAATCAAATTACACATTTACAAATGCTATCGACTCATGCCGCCCAAAATATTACTTATCATTGCAAAAATACGGTTGGATATTTTGACGCAGAGAAAAATAATTATCGCAAATCATTGAAGTTATTGGCATGGAATGATGCTGAATTGACCGCGAAAAATTCACAGCAACTACGTTATGAAGTAACAGAAGATGGATGCAAGGTAACTTTCTATTGCCATAGAAAGAGTTCAACTTTTCCTCGCCTTTTCTGATTTCGTATTCATATACATTTTTTTTCCTTTTAGACACGGTCTTCCAGATGGTCACAAACTGTAATTAGTTACAAAACAGAAAAACCATCCAGACTTCCAATTGCAGACGTCGCTATTCGAGATGTTGGCAGTGCTGATCAACAATTTGCTGTAGAAATTAGTCGAGTGTGTTTTGAAACACAGGACTTTGGCAGTCAATAGAATTAAGTAGAAAATTATATTGTCATTTTGTTGTAAATAAGTTTTAAATCGCCGTAGTGACTTTAAAATGAGTAACTTCGACGTTGGCTTTGATATAGATTGAAGAGCATTTATTATTGTGAAAGTTTCTATAACTTAATCAGTAACAAAAACTAAATAAAAACCATTTAACATGTGTTTTTTGTTGTTTTTCATTTTTGTTGGTCTCAAGCGTTCAGAAAGACATACATTTATGCGAGCAATTGAATGATGCTTGCATCATTTGATGCGCATCGATTGTGCTGTCGCCATACATTCGGATCTTCGAACGCACAACGAAAGCACTACCGATGCGCATCAAATGATGCAAGCATCATTCAATTGCTCGCATAAATGTATGTTTTTCTGAACGCTTGGTTAGTCTGACTATTCATCTGAACATTTGTACGATGTTTTATGTCTATCTATCTAATAGAAATATCAATTCCCCGCTTGCTAACTCTTCGGGTGTAGTACAAAATTTCGCCGGAATTGATCATTGAAAGTTTCGATAAATATTTTAAATCATTTTTTCAGGTCCACCCGGCCCACCGGGCGAATCACAAGGATACGATACAGCATTATTGCAAGCCTTGACAAGTCAAATGTCATCGATCAAAAATAACAAAGGCCCAAGCAATATGCAAGAAGATAGTCCAATGAATCGAATATTTTCTGATCAAAAAACATCAATCGAAGAACAACGCAATCTGCTTAAAAAGGCATGAGTAACTTCGACGCTGGCTTTGATATAGATTGAAGAGCATTTATTATTGTGAAAGTTTCTATAACTTAATCAGTAACAAAAAATAAATAAAAACCATTTAACACACTAATTAGTGAAGATAATTCCGCACGGTATCGTGTAGCAATAAAAATCATGTATCTAACTTTAAACTGTATGACGAATGTATACTTTATAAACATTTGTTTCAAGAGTTATAGAAACTACAACATAGATAACCGGTCGCCACTTGTAAGCTTTTTGTATTCGATTGGTCTTTATTATACACGATGAGAGGGTTATCATACTAAACGCGAACATAATATATTGATTGCATTTTTCGTTTATTAAATCACGTACTTGACCATACTAGTCGAATTCGAATCACTTTCCCCTAATACAATAAACCAGACAACAAATATTGAACAACATCAAATGTTCGATGTTTTTATTTTCACTGATCACTTTTTAGTTGCAATTTACTTGTTCGTTCCATTTTTGTTGCAGTTCAGATATTTGTATATACATTAGAGAAAATGTATTCGTAGTGTATGCATTTATACATCGTACAGATGATGTTATGCTTTGCTGCTACCATATTTGAAGTAGTAAAGCTACACCCTTCGTTGAGAACGAAACATATTTTTTCTCGTAGAATGAAGACTTTTCTGCAATTTCCATTTCACTGAGAATAATAGTTTTAAAAATGACCCCTCCCTCTTGAATTGTCAACTATCAGAAGCTATGACATTTATTTGTTATCAGAATCTTACTTGTCAAACAAAAATGTTGTAGAAAACAACAAATTGTCATTTCAATTCTTGAAGTGCATTGATCGCTTATATGATTTGAGTATTATTCATTGCAGGTTATGTACGAATTTATTTCAAAACAACGACTTTTGACTATTCACCAACACTAAAATTATTATACAATCTATAATATTATCAAATATTACATGCATTTTTGACAATAAACAAATTGTAATCAATATGAACTGATTATTTCAATTGTGATAGGGTAAGACATCTTCAAAGTGAGTGACCGATCGCTGCAATGACGCAAATATAGACGCTTCGGTGAGATGTTTTCTTTGGAAAATAACTTGATCGTTTTAAAATGCGTTATTTCAATCAAAAAAGTCAATTGTCTCATATGTATTTCTTCTGATCAGGAGTCCAAAGGCTAAGATTGATATTCGAATTATGAGATTGTTCTTCCAAGATTTTGGTATAGCGCACCGTAAAGTTCATTATTTTAGAGCTATCCATTGAGTCAAGAAGTGCCTAAGAAGCAGCAATTCCACCGGGCTTGAAATGTCAGAAATGCATTAAAAAATAGAAGTATTATTATATTTAACAAATATTTATTAGAAGAAAAGTAGGTAAATTAAAAACAAAATTATTAATAGTGAATTTAATTTTTACAATCAAACTTGGGAATTACATAATATTGAAAATAAATTAAAATTTACATCAGAATAGAACTATTTTTTGAATTCAATACTTTTATTTTCATTAATCTTGAGTATTTTTGAATTCTTGGCCGTCTTCGAATACAAAAAAATTCATTATTTAAATAACCAAAATAAGTACATAATGCAACAATCAATGAAATTGATATCATCTCGGTATGAGCTTATTTGACAAAATGCTTTTTCTATCTACATGGGTGATTCGATTTCGTGATTCGATTCGTGGATTATTAAATTTCTGTATTTCTGCGGATCCAAAAATTAAAAATATAATAGTTCGCAGCATGGTGACAACAAAGGTAAGCCAGAACACAAATCTCCATTGTTCAAGTGATGACTGGAAGTGAAATCATAACATGTATCTTATCTAAAAAAATGAAAGAGTAAAAAAAGAAAAGTCTACCTGTGGCGTCAATACGCCAATGATTGGTAATACGACTACTCCAGCCATGCCAGCAAGGCCATTTGTGACTGCCTACCGTAAGAATGATAAAAGATCCAATTAAAATGTTGATTTTCGTCGTTGTTTGTACAATGTGCAATTTACATTCAAAGCATAAACATAATCATAAAAATAAATATAGCAATAAATACCATTAAGCTGCCAGCATAATTTGGACTCAAGTCTAATGCATTGACTTTAACACCTGAGAAAAAACATCCCAAGAAGCCCATCACAATGGTGAAAAGAAATATAACAATTGGTCTATTGTAACCACCATATGAAGCGGCAACAAGGAAAATGGCCGGAAATACTGAGCCTATTGATTGATAAAAATGAAATCAAATGATATCGATTAGACAATAGCTTAGAAAGTTTGCGTGCAAAATGATGTGTGATTTTATCAATGCGATAAAATCACACGTGCAATTCATAAATCAATAAAATATTGATAGTATAATTACGAATATTATTGGCTTACCCAAGGTTGTAAATATTTTTCGAGCTTGTGTGATTGTCACGAGTTTTCGATTAACCAGATAATCGGACATAAAACCCGAAAACAACGATACTATCCACATCAATAAAAATGGCATCGACGAATAAAGGCCAATTTCTTTTACTTTTAGTTCCAACACATCCTTTAGGTACTTTGGCAAATCGGCCGACATAATGTAAAATATCCAATCATGCCCAATCTAAATGGAATGACAACGAAAAGTTAACAAAAAAAAAATTCGTGTCAAAAAGGATAAAATGTCAACTCACCAAACAAATGGCCATTGCAATAACTGGAACATTAAATATTATGGATTTCCATGGCGTCGGTGGTAAGTCGTCGTTTCGCTTTGTTTGACCCAGTTCTGATTTGAGATAAGTAAGCTCCTTTTCGGGTATGCGTGGATGTGATTCTGGATCATTGTAACACAAAACAGTCTAAAAAATAAATTTTGATTTAGTTTAAATCGTGTTCAATTGACTTGGAATATTTATAAAAGTGGTAAAGCAAGGAGCGACTTACGAATAACACAAACCAAAAGACTGCCACAATAGTCCAAAAATAGAAAACTTTATCCCATGCATAGTGTTCTAATATCAATCCAGTGAAGAAGAATGATAATAGACATCCAATCTGAATATTAAATTGAAATAAGTTGAAGTTTACTTGCGTCTATATATTAAAACTTAATAGAAATTCGTACTTGACCACCTCCAAATACAAATGTGCCAATTTTTCCTCTCTCTTTCTCCGGAACCCACGCCGCCAACATAACACTCAGAGCTAACATAAAATAAATTTAAAAAAAATTAAATAACAAAAATAAAATAAACGAAAAGCGCGAAAAATTAAAAATTACCAGGATAAGTCGTGCCGCCGCCAACTCCCACCATTATGCGTAAAACAATCAAAGCCCACAATCCACCGCCTAACACAAAACATAATATCAATAAAATGAAAGTGATATTTTTTTTTTGGTCGTCAACTCACCACATTCAACAGCCACTGGTGTGATTCCATTGAAAAATGCCATAAATAATATACCGCCCGAACAAATCCATTTTCCGCCAATTTTTTCGGCTATCAGACCACCAGGAATATGGGCCAAAACGTATCCAATATAAAATGATGATAAAGCCCATTGTTGTTGTGATTGTGTCCAGTTGTACCGTGGTATGGTCTATTTAATGGATCAAAATAGATGTATTCGCTATAAAATCTAGGTTTTTTTTTTCATTGAATTGGTCTCTTGATATAATTGAAAATAAGAGAAAATAAATAAATTGCCCTCATACACTGTTTCTCAATTGTTGTCCTAAATTGTTTGTATTATTGACTGGAACGACCATTTCAGTAAGAGCCACTGGTAAGCTTGATCGAATAGTATATGAAACGGCAATTGCCAGAGTACCCATGATAGCAAGTACCACACGTTGTGGAAGCATTGAATCTGACAATTTAAAATTGCAATTTGATAAGAAAATTCTCTGAATCGAATAAAAGTCAAGTTCAACAACTTTTATGACCACCACCACCACCATAACCATATTGCACAACACTCAAATCGAAACGAATCGAATCTCATTATAATTGCCATTTTTGTTTTAAGGTTATAAGATATTTATATATTTAAATACACTATGACAGACTGAAAACAATATTACAAATAATATGAACAAAATGAAATGTCCAATAATTTACTTACAACTTTGTGAACTGTGTGACTTGTCCATGTTAATGGCCCAAAATGATTTGATGTGATTTACAATTTTTTTATATTTGGAAGACGGAGATGAATTCGCTGGCTTATCTTATCAATGAAAAGAAGTTATCGTCGGCAGCTACTTCACGAAATATAAATAAATAAATCAATCAATTGACAGACATACGTACACACAATTATACTGTAACTATTTGTTTACACAATTCAAGCTCATTCTACACTATTGACTGCGCTATAATTTACAAAAAGCACATGATTGCATCTAAACGAATACCTATAGACGACAACTTTTTCTTTGACTAATTCCGATTTCGGTCAAACGAATAAAATTAACACAAACACGCCATTGATTCTATGCATAAGTATGCATATAGCAGTTTATATAACACAAATTACACATGCGCTTCGATTTTAATTAAGTTTCCATGGTAGTTATCAGTTTAAAGTCAAAACTGAATTCCGCGTCATAAAAGTCGACTTCTTTTTTCATTTTTTTTTACTTTAACCTGTACTAGATTATATTGTTTAATCGGTACACGGTTTTCGGATTTGTGTATATAATATGGACATACTTATGACAATAACAGTGTATGTTTACATTGAAATAAACATTTGGAAATATATTCTCTCAAATGTCATCCCACTTGAGACAAACCGATTAAAGTCATTTTATTAGATAGACACTTTTTTCACTTTTTGGCATAAATCAAAACAAAAAAGGGTATATTTCCAAATTTAAAATGAAGGCTATCTTATCTTGAATGTCACACAAGGGGTTAACTATTTATTGTTCTTAAAATATACTCTACTGGCAACTCTATTACGAAATATATTTCGTTAAAATGACTATGAACATTTTTGTTCAAGTCATTTTAATTGACTGTCATGAATTGAATTGACTTGTACTGGTTTCATCAAAATGAAGGCGGAGCAAGAAATCTACCAAAAAAGTATAATGAAAAAATAACCAGATGTAGAACAGTATATTTTTCATGAGTAAATAATGTAATGAAAAAATACATTTGTACACAATTTTGTAAAATTGGTTACGATTGTGATGACATTAATTTGCCGTTTCTACTTCAATTTTGAATTACATTGAATGAAAATTAAATTGAATTTGTACTTTATCAAATTACGGTGAATTAGGTAGTTTCCCCTTGATGTCATCGAATGGTTGTGATTTTGAAATCTGTGATTTGTCTTTTGTCTATATTTCAATTGGTTGGCAACAATTTTTCCCTAATTTGTCATAAATATTGCACTCATAATACCCTCTTAATTGTGTCACTTTCAAAACAAACAGAACCTATGCAATCAAAGTTCAATAAAATTACACACTGTAATACAATTTCGTAGCAGTAAATGATGTTTACGAAATTGTATAATAATTTGAAACCAATTTGTACGTCCCACTTAACGTTGGAATGTTTTATTGAAATTTTTGGTTTTATTATGATCCAATTAGGAAATTTGTCTATAATATGTATATTTCAATATTTATAACTTTTTTTTTCTATTTTAACTCTTTACTAATGTAACAAAAGAAAAACGTTTCTTGCTGAAGTTATTTAAATTTGAGGTAATTATTATGTAGTTTTTGAAATTAACCTTTTTGAGGTTGTTGCTATTGACTAACTAACAGAAAAATAGAATACACTATAATTCGGCGCTCAAAAACAAATGCAATGTATCAAAATACGCACTTTTATCAGGCTAAAAAAAGATAAATTTTACGTAATTCCATCCTAATTTTGTGTAGTAAGATACCGAAAAAGAAACAAAGTTGCGATATGATTCTTTCTGCTTATTACTTATTTATGAAATTTGTTTACGTTATTTAACATGATACGGTATAGTTGCTTAATTCGTCATTCCAAATGAACTGAGATTCATGCGGAATAGGCTGATAAAAAATGTACTCAAGCCTCTTAGAATGGAATTTTTTTTGTTGTCATACTCATACTCATACATATAATACTCACTGGGTATTATCAAGAACGATAAGCCAACTGGAAAATAACAAAAAGTACTGGTGATAAGTGCAACACAAACTGCATTCACATATGTCGAAATGAAAAGTTGGCATCGAAACAAATGAACGCAGTCAACTTAAAGTATACCAGTAGCGTCAACATGAAATATAAACACTTGAAAAAATCTGTCTTCCTACTTTTCAGTAATTTCAATAGAAATATTGATGATAAATCGAAAAGAGGTTCGTGATGGGTTAACATGTTTCTTTTTTTTTTATAAACAACAATTTTCATTATGACGGCTCATTTACTTTACAAATTTCACATATCGATTTTTATAATTTGGAAAGGATATCGGTGAAAGTGGTCAATTATTTAAACTTCGTTTATGGATTGCAAATGGTATGAAAGAACCAAGATCTTCCACTTCCTAGCACGGTTGGAGTGAAAATCATTTTATTCCATTTAAAACGTCGTCATTTGCTCAACGTGTTGGAAATTTTAGTGAAAGCAGATCAGCAAGTGGTAAACGAAGAGGATGCAGACATAATGCTGGCCGTTCATACAAAGTGCCGTCGAACTACCATAGTTTATTCCTTTATGTACATCGGATCAATTGTATCAATATTTTTTGAGGTGCTTTTCTTGGAGCGATCCGGACAAACATGGAAATCAACAGCTCCAATTCCAATGGATTGGGCACAACAGCCCAGAATTTATTATGGGTTTTTAATTTTTGAGGCAATTGCAAACAGTATGAATTGTGCGATTTCATGGACACTTGACATTTACAGCTTGAAAATTATTAATTTGCTGTGTGGTCAATTGAAGTGTTGTCTTTACATTTGAAACAAATTGGGCACGCGGCAAAGTAAGACAATTCCCATCGCTTGCATCTAATGGCATACTTTGACCACTACAATTTACTCACCAAGTTATTTGGCTTGCAGTTATGAGGAGAAATTTTGATATAAATATTCACACTTTTTTTAGTTATTCACAAGAAATGGAAAAGCATTTGTCAACCATTTTTTTGTTCAAGTTAGCATTTCGGCTCCTATTATATGTACGTGTGCTTATCAATTTTCGCAGGTATTCAAACACTGAACATTTTAATTTCGAATTTTATCTGTTGGTATTGAACGCTTCACTCAAAAATCCATTTTTAATAGGCTCAACAATTTACTCCCACTCAAATGGGGTTTCTTTTGAGCTATACGTGTGGAATGATTTTGCAAATTTTCAATGTGTATTATTGCCAGTGGTCATTTTTTCGAGTGAATGGTACCATATCGAAGAGCAGGAAAAGAAAAATCTAGTGATTTTTATTACAAGATCATTATATATTAACATTATTCGTTATACGCGCTGGCAAATTTTTCATGTTAAACACCAACACTTTCATGAAGGTGAATTCATTTAGAAAAACTTTGGATCATTAAATTCGCTTAATAACAACACAAAACAATCAAACTTTGGAAATAACATTTATTTTCAGATTATGAAAACAGCTTACTCTCTATTGGCCGTATTGCAAAGTGCTCAGCCATGATATTCTAACATCTCTAGATGTAAAATGAGCGTTTCGAAATATTTAAGTTTACTAGACAAAAAAAGAACATGTATAATAACTTTAAGTCATTTGTTACGAAATTCAGTACATAAACCTTGTATAAACACAAAAAATTAAAAAAAAATGTTTAAGCTTGTTACGTTTTAAATTTGGGATAAAATCCTTTTTTTGTTTCAAAAATTATTTGTTGCGCAACACATTTTAGCGAATGGTGAACAATAACGCGTGTTATATCAACGCTTCGATTTTTCAAACTAAAACTATTTAACATCGGAATAAGCATCTTGGCACCGCTTAAGTACATATTAACTGTGATACATTTTTATCAAACAACTGCTGATTACATGCATATATCGGTCCCATAAACAACGTATTTCTTGTTCTCTGTAACGAAATAAAGTCTTCATTTTATTTTTGATGCACATTTTAAGGGGAATGGGATTACCTTGCCACCTCCAAATCCAAAACCGCGGTATTTACTGCGGGCAAAAATAGTTTTACCGTTTCTAATTGCCATTGATTTTGTCGCCATGGTTCAATTAACTTCTCAGAAAGATCCATAAACAGACAACGAAGCTCACGGGTACGATGCAAATTTATCGCAATTGTAATCAAAGATCGCCAGTATGATCTAAATTACCAGTAAATGAATATTATTTTAAGTGTTCATTCGTTATTTTATAGAGATTCTTATAAGAAGTTTACCTAAAATTTAGATCCAATTCTTGGTAGGCGCGTTCAAGTATAACCGCTTTTAGACGAATCAATACCAAACTTTTAAAAAAAATTGACAAAAATCTCATTTAATAAAAGATATTCATGCAAGTGATGGAATTGAATGCTCACTGTTTGATTTCCTTCTCTTTGTCCAATAAACTTCGCACTTCTCTTAAATCCAATAAGAATTCGCGATCCATTTCGGTGTCGTAATATTCTGGTCCTGAGTGTTGATAAGTATACGTCCAATAAGTCATGATTGCCTGTGCGCATTCGAAGAAATCACTGAAATCCAAGTATGCAAGACGTCGCTTGGACGTTTCAAATCTGATGCAAGCGATGAAAACAATCACCGAATACTTTCTGCAAAGCATAATTCCTTCAGCATTAGTTTCATTTTCTATATTTTAACAGTTTAAGATTCAATGCTAATCAAAATGAAAAAAAAAAAAAAAAAAAAAACAAACCGAGCAAGTTCATCGGGCAGCAAAAAGTTTTGTTTGATATTGTTTGAGACGTTGCCCGCCATTTCTTCGACACATTTAAATATTCGCTTGACATTGTCAAACTGTCGACGGCATGACTTTAATCGAATTCCCGTTCGATCGGCAACTTCATCCAAGTCCTTTCGATACCGAGACGATAGCTTCTTGCCGAGTATTTCACGTGCAACGGTATCATCTAAATTGTAGTATCTAAGGGGAGGTAAACAGTTGATTTAGATTGATGTGCCAAAGTCTTTATGAATTATAATTTAGTATTGCTTTGTTACTTTTCGATGAGAAGTTGTTGACTTGATGGTTGAAGTTGAAACGATGGTTGTTCGGACAATTTTGTTGGTGTGTATAACAAACGTTCCAAAAGTGAGTATGTTCGGTAATGATCTAATACATCCGATGCTATCAATTCCAATGGTGCACCCATATTTCTGGCAACTCCTTTTGTATTTTGAAAATGAACCGCTTCGGTGGCTATTTTGAGAATTCAAAACATTACTAAAGTTTCACAGTCACCGTTCAGTGAATAAAACAACAACTTACACGAATACCCTTCGGTCCATAGTTGAAAAATATCTGCATCAACTAGCGTGTAATTTGATATAAAAACATCAACTTCTGCATACATTTTTTTTGTTATTTATTTCGTTACGTCTTGTAAGCACATTAAATGTTCGATTTTCAATATGTCGTTGATTATTAATATGTTATCTTCAATAAATCACCTCGAACTAAGTACAATGCTTTTAGCGTGAAATTACTAGCAATTATTGGCAACAGTTCCTGTTGAAATTGTTTTTCAAATCATCATTCATATCGAACAAAATTTATTTGAACAAGTTTGAATTGATTTTGTTTTGATGAAAAAAAATCCGCAATTTTTTTTTCTTCAGTGTTTTGATTTCACGTTAGGTTGTTGTTTATTTTCCACATTGCACATCTGTCAAAAAATAGGCCTTTTGTAATCTCAAACGAGTTGACAGTTAAGCTTTTTACCAGAACATTGCTGGTAACATTTGCGAAAATTTCTTGCGTGAAATTTTCAATTTTTTAATATCATTTTAAATGACAATGTTGCGAATTATATCCAGCCGTGTCTTACCAAATAACAGTAACGTTTTTGGTGCACTGCAATTGTTGAGATTTAACTCAACAGCTCAAATCCATAAGGCACCCAGAGGTATAACATTTTGAGGTTAAATCATTTCATGGATTTGTTAAAATTGAAATAAAATCATTGTTATTTCAGAGTTTCGAGACGTTGAGTTAATTGGGACTGTTCATTTGAAACCGCTAACTTTAGACAGTGGAAGGAAAATACTCACAATCAGAACAAATGATTCAGATAATGTGTAGTAAGTTATAAAAAAATGATTTTGTTTTACATCAAATCTTAAATGTGGATAATTTACTTTCAGCAAACTACATCGATGTTCTATTCAAAGTCAAAAGATTTTAAGCATTCTCAATTCTTGTGATCTGGAGGTTGGTCAACGAGTTTTTCTCAAAGGGGAATTGCGATCAGAGAATTACATGAATTTGTATAATAAATTACGTCAACGGTTACAAGGTAAAGGGAGTTCATTTTTGCATACAGAATTAATTAATTGAATATAGCACATTTTGTGTTTTGCAGTACGAGTAGCTGAAATTTATGCCTGCAACACTGATAAGTCCGAAGCAAATACATCCGAATCAACGATCAACATCGATCAAAACAGTGTATGCATTCTATTCTTTAGATTATTTTCCCATTTTCTCCATTACTCATATATTTATTTATTTCATATGTGATTAAAGGTATGTGTTCTTTCCCATATAACAAAACTATATCATGCGGAACAGTTTTCAGTTGTTCATCTAGTCGCAAATCGGACTATATTGTAAGAATAGAAAAAGACAACATCATGAGCTTACAACTATGACGATTATAGACAATATTTGATTTGAATTTTATAGGGATTTAGAAGGAAATGAAAAACCGACATCGGAATATTTCCAAGTCTTCGTACGTGACAAAAACTTGATTGAACTGCTCAAAAGTGATGTTTCTGAAAGGGATCGAATTATCGTAAATGGACATCTGCAATACAAGACAGACTATGATCAAAATGGAAAAAGTTGTCGATCTGGCTTAATTGAGGCAACAAATATTCTAAAAGTGGATAAATTCACCAGAGACGTTATTGAAGAAGACGTTAACATTGTAAATGAATAAGATGTTCAAATATAAAAATTGTTTTTTTTTTTTTGTGAAAACTTAGAAAAATAAAAAATAAGCAAATAAAATATCGATTATCGGTACATTATTTTTTCAAATTGAAAAAATCATTTAAAAATGTATATAAATCCAAATAGCCAACAAAACTTTGGAGTATTCGGTAAAGACGGTATACCACATTGTATACCACTTTGAGCCCAATTGTCAAAATGAAAGCCTTTCAGTGACAGTTTAAATTTGATTCAATCGGATTCATCTTCGACACATTTGTACCAAAGTTAATAATTTTCATTCAAGCAAATTTGTGTTTTTTTAAGTGACAATGTTCCAAATTATCGGCAGACGTTTTCCAATAAATAAAAGTATTGCAATTGATGCTGTGCAACAATTGAGATTTAATTCAACTAATAATGTTTCAAAACGAGCCAAAGGTATTTTGAGGTTAGAGTTTCAATCAATTGGTAAACTAACGAATACCACTTTCCCAAAGAAATTCGAGATGTTAGATTGGTCGGTCACATTACTCAGTCACCTCTAGTATTAAAAGATGGATCGATGGTTATCGAAGTCAAAACACGCAAACCAGACGGTTGCTAGTAAGCCGAACGAGTTTTTATTATTGTGCTAATTGGAAATTAAAATTCAATAAATCTGTTTGCAGCATAAACAATCGAGCAATCATTCAAAATCGAAAAATATTGGACATTTATGGTGATTATTTGTCGATTGGCCAAAGGGTCTTCCTTAAAGGACACGTATGGGCGCACACCTATGAAACTGAGGAGAAAGAAAATCGTCAATCATTGTATGCGCATGTTAGTGAGTTTTATGCCAGCAAACGTAATCAATCCGAAATGGATACGGTTGAATCGACCAACATCTCAGATGAGAATAGCGTGTGCATTCTATCTCACATTACTTCGGATATCCAACACCAACCAGACTTTTCCACTTTTAATCTAGCTTCACATTTTACGATGAGGTATTTTAAAAACATCTCAATCTCATTTTCATACGAAAGTTTCGATGTTACGTTGTCGCTGTCGAATGAAAATTTGATAGCTGATTAAAAATTATAAATTTTTTACAGATGTATGTTTTTTTTTTCGTTAATCTTCAATAGGAACTATGACACTGGCGAGGAAAAAGAGAAGGTCACATATTTTAATGTGCATGTTCATGACAAAAACTTAATTCAAATCTTAAAACAGAATATACAGCGATTTAATCGCGTTATAGTCAAAGGTATTTTTGATCAATTCTGTTCCATCACTTATTGATTAATTTCCATTTTTCCCATTCTTTTCTTCTGATCAACGCTAGGTATTTTGAACAATAAACCCGATTCAGATATAAATGGTAAAAAGGTTTCTTTTGGCTATATCGAGGCCACAAACATCCTTCGCGTTGACAGATTTTCTCAGCCACCGAATGATTCAATTGAAGAAAATGCAAATGTAGCACCTGAATAAGTTGCTGAAATACATGGATATTGTTGAAATTTTTAATTTAGATAAATAAATATACACAAATATTCTAAGATATGTGTCGGACTTTTATGGCGTAGAAATAAAACATTATTTTGTACGGGTCATGAATCAGGCGTTGTTGATTTCACCTGTCAGAATATTTGGTTCTTTTTTTATGAAAATCAATTCATTACATTCATAGGAAATTACATTCAATTATTGTTTTTACATAAATTCTTCCCTTAAATCTACGACTTTTCTTTGTTTTGCCTATCAAACTAATAAATGGGATAATTATCTTGGACATTTACAATATAACCATAGCTTCTGAAGCTAATGATCCAAAGAGGATATTTTCAATATTCGTCCAAAAACATTACCAAATCGATTGAACTTTCGGAAAATTGTTAAGGGATCATTTCTCAATCCGTTTTTCAGGGGAGTGTGGTTAATTTCGAGTCAGGAAATATGAGGGGGCGATCCGAAAAATTGACGGGAGGTTAATCGAGTCCCTCGGACCTCCGGTCAGAAGCTATCGTTTTAATGCTTACAGACGTCATTCAATTTAATTACTTTTATTGGCTTACGCCTTTTTTGTTCAAGACATATTTCGAATATTTATTCATGGTATTTGGCAAAAGCCAAATTTTTTCATGCTTGTTCAAATGTCATTTTTTACATGGTTGAAATTACAAAATTAAAACAACAAAAATACAATAAATAAATAGAACTAACGAAAAAAAAAATTTTTGTGCATATTACGGTAACCTGTGTTATTGTTTTTAAAAAGAATTATTAATGTTTAGTTAGAAAATTTACAGAGAATGATTTGGTTTCTTATAGTTGCTATTTTGAAAAATATGTCGAAACTAGGCTCGTCGAATTTCAGTTTACTCTAGGGATTTTTTTTGTCGAAATTATGGATGTTCAATGCCATAATTCAAAATGTTTGTGTATTTTACCTCAAATTATGGATAGACAGTAGTTGTAATTTGAAAATAGCCTGTCTATGCAGTAACACCGGAAATCGACAAGCCTGGTCGAAACGTAAATGCAAATTCATATTCCAGTCGCTTATGTGTATATAAATTAGTAAATTGATTAAACTTGACGTTTTCCAATCAAGCCTATCACAGTTGAAATAAATAACTTTTTATACAGAAACTTATGGTTAGTATTTCATGTCTTTTGAACGATTTTAAGTGTATTTTTTTTTTAAATAAATATTTGTACCTACTGAAGCACACAGTCAAGAGGCTTTTTTGTCTAAATAAATATTTTCAATTCAATATGTAATACAAATTTTTATGCTGAAATACTTTGATGCTTTTGTTTTTGGACACGCTTATGTTACCAGCAAATAAATTTGGTTTTGATTTCAAATCGATATCTTACATCGATATCTGTTATACTGGAAAAACGATTCAATCGTCTTCGCTCATTATACTTTTGCGAGCCTTAAAACTTCGCCATGAGCCATTGTGGCATACGCCGGCACCTCTCCACCAATCGTTTATATCTTCATACCACGATGGCGTTGAAATGGCATGCTCATCATGTAACATAGCGCACACACGACACCAAAAATATGTATTGATAAATTCACCCGTTCCTTTCCATTTGAAGTATGAATTATACAAATCATCATTTTTATCTAAAATATTCAAGTATTCGGCTAGCTCTTTTGGTGATGCAAATTCATCCACATGAATGTAGGATCGATATGGTGCGCTGCTTTCATAATCTTCGGGTCGGGCACCTAATACAATCGGCAATATATTCCGATTTAATGCATTCACAAAGAATTTCTCCGTTATGTAATCCTATACATAGATTAGAATTAACGATATTTATAAATATATATTGAAATGTTATAATCATCTATATTAATCAATTTTCACCTTGCAATTGGAATTCTCGAATGCTAAATAAAATTTGTAGTCACGATTTAATATGTCAAAACATTTATCGGGCAAATTTCGCGAACATTTGAATGCGCCGCATGATCCATAAATGTCAACCTGTTTTCACCAATAGAAAGAAAATGATTATTTATGTTTTTCGAATCATTTGTGTTGGTTTGAAAAGGTCTGAAACAAGTCATATCATTTACCTGAATATATTTTTGTAATTCGTGTGCATAGTTAAGTCGACCGTTTCTGGCGCCGCAATTCGATACGAACCACGCAACTTTTTTGGTTTTATTTTGAGCAAAATTTCGCTCTTGTTCCATTTGTTTAATACGTGAATCATAATAAACCCATTTTTCGTATGGTGCAACAATTGTACTGTCTTTTCTAAAAATGTGTTAAAACAGACATCGTTTTCAACATAAAAAATAAAGTCAAATAAGACAAGAGACATTAAACAGATGTTTTTGTTTGATTCTCGTTACCTGTACGTGGCAGTCCAGTTGAAAACATCCGGAAATTTAACATGTTGCGTATGATATGGACATTCTAAAAAATACAGCATGAACAATTGATGTGATGGCCGTTGAATTCCAGTTGGAACGAAATAATCTTTGTATAAAATTAAATCGGCTTTATTGGCCACTTCACGTTTTGTTGTAATGCGGCACGTATTCACCGGGCATTTATTTTTGATCGTGAATACTTCTCGTCCTTCTTTCAAATTGCCCCATGGACCTAAGCCGTTGTACAATAGAATTGTTTTGAGTTTCCCTGATTCTTGTATTTGCTCATAGTTTGGCGGCACGAACATCAATTGATTCGTTATTCTATCATGCCATTGATCTTCCGATGGAAATAATTTTGCTACTCGTTTATTGGTTTTTCGTGATTTTTTTGCCGGTTTTGGATATCGTTGACCGCCAGCTAAGTACCATGGTTTCTGTTTCACTAGCACACTTTGATCATAATTGTCTATTGCCGGCACTTGATTACTTTGTCGACTATCCTCGATATACTCATTGAATGGATTCGTTGATGTCGTTGTTTGTTTAAGCGGTTGTGGTGTTAGCAACTATAAAAATTTATATGAAACAAAACCAGACATTAGATGAAGATATATTTTTCCAGCTGAATCAGCTCAGGGAGCAAAAGTCAGGTGTCTGTAATGCATGTATTTTTATAACTATAACAATTTTTTCGAATGTTTTCACTTCATTTTACCACCTGGCGCGAGCTCTCTGAGCTGAATCAGTTGCAGCTGAAAATATCTCAATATAATGTCTGAACAAAAAAATCGACTCAGGTCAATGAACATAAATACCGCAAACGTGTGTTTCAATTAAAACCATGTGGAATTTTTGAATTATCACATATGCGTTAATAGACAAACTGAATTTTAATTGAATTATATCACTAAATTAGACCGAATAGATAGCGTCGGTTGGATGTACCGTTTTACTCGTTTATTTGTTTTACCTGTCTTGAATTCACGCTCCCAATTGTCTCCGATATTTCATTTGAGTCTAAATTCTGTTGTGCACTCCTGTCAACGCTGTCTTCATGAATTTTATTCCTCCAAATATCTTTATATCTGAAAATACACAGTGCTCATTGATGTTTCTTATCTTCTTTGTTTCACTTTTTATACATACCTCAAACTAATGCCAAATATAACAATTATTGTAAACCCAATGGTGAGTGCAAAGCACTTTTTCAGCGAGAATTTTGGAAACCGCATTTTTTATGGTTGGCTCCACGATGGCACATCAATTGTTATTTCGTAACCATTGAGACATTTGTATTTTCTTCAGTACGAATTAACTGCAAATAAACCAAAAGATAACTAACACTTGGAAGTTTTGTTTTGCAATACATTTATACGAAATACTACCGTTGAATAACCAGGGCAATGCAAAACAAACACCAAATTGTTAACGCATTAAATGCTCTGGCAGCTCTTATCAGTTTTACAACAATTGTTAACTTAATTCAACGTATTCTGGCCATTTCTTTCAATAATATCTGGTTGGCTTTGCTTTATTTTGCACACCATTGTTGAGACATTTGCATTTTTGATTTAAGTTGCCGTATACCTTAATATTGAACGTCATATATTATGTGTTAAAAAAGTACAGGCAACATTTGGAAAAGTCAATGTCAAATTATTTATACATATAAATCCACAAAGCAGCCAAATATTAATTTATCATGAACAAAACAATGTTTGTCTTGTCCTGCTTATAACCAATACACGATAATTCATCATTGAACATTGATATATTGCTGTATTTATAGCGTGAAAATGTTTTTATCATTTGATGCATTTGATTATTAATTTGAAGAGGTTTGTGATAAGAAAAAATTAATACATGTTCACTTTAAATGTGATATATTTCTCAATTGATCATTGCAAACTTTACTTTAAAAGGAATAAAAAATGTCATGAGACTTGGGCTTGTTGGATTTGGTTCACTTTCGAGAATTTTTTTTGTGGGTAATTCCATAATGTTTAAATTCCAATCTAATAATTTGAAATGTTGATTTATTTGATCTGAAGGACAGTTCTAAAATCAATGATTTGTCAAATATTTTGTTTATAATGACTCATGACTTCAATCGAATTGGGTAGAAGCTCGAGAAATTGGTTAAAATAAAATAGTGTATGGCTTGCTGCTATTTTATACGTGTATATTCCTAGGGGGTTCCGACTTATACGAATGTATCATATGTGAGCGAATGTTTCATACATATTTTGCGAATTGAAGCAAATGGTCAACTGAAACTAATCACAGAAATGTTTATGTACAAATCACAGCAATATGTCGCACCTTGCAAACAGTATGCGGCATTCGCGAATGGTTTCGAATGAAATATACGAATTTTCATAGATGTTGATGCGAATGAATATACTTTATTTCGTATGAATAGGAAAATGTTTATATTTTGCGAATAAATTGCCATTCGCGAAAAATCGAAAGCCCCTAGGAATATTCCTTATCAGTGTGAAAACAGCACAATAAACGTCTTTCATATCACGATAGCTCACTGATTTGAACCATTTTTACTTCTGATGCGCATTACACTTTTACGGTAAATCACCGGCCTTTCCGATTTTATTTCATTAAAAAATTTGATTTTTGCACTGTTCAACGACAATTTTGGTGGCCAAAAAACGTATTTATTTGCAATTCAATCCCTTTGCCGGTTTTTACCACAATTCCACACAATTAAAAGTTTGCATTTATTATGAATAAAACCTTCTACGGTTTCCAACATCACGAGCACTCATTTGAAATCATTTTTATTCAGCTGTTGTATCAAAACTTGGTTTATTATCACCGAAACTATACAATAGAACTAACTCAAATGACCTCTTGTATCAAAATGACAACTCGCCGGAATAAAATTCTAAATAATGCCACTAATTCGTTCTAATGTTGATGCTAATGAAAACTCAATTTTTTTCTTCTTATTTATAGATGATTTCATCAATTCTATGTTTACGTCTTTTCCGCCTGGATTGTGCTGAGTGTTCATTGTTCAAATATAGTTGTCATTTGAAAGAAAGAAAAACATCTTATTGATTTTATACAAAAAAATATGGCTTTCACAACTTACACAATCGAGTTTAGGCTTTTGAACAGTAAAAATATCATACTCATAAATAGAGATGACAATAAATGGCGATTTGACGCTTAATACAGAATAAGTACGCAGTTAATTCGGAGAATTGGAGTATTGATTGTGTACTGTTCTCCCTTGCACTGTGATATTGCCCGATTATTAAATGTCTTTGTGATGTCTTTCTTGCTATTGTGTTGCGCCTCATAAAGAAATGATGCAGTTATTTTTTTTTAGCCGTGATTGCCTAGGTCGATCGCCAACGACGACTTGAATAACCAAATTGAAATGCATTCAGGATTTTTATCAAAATAATTTTTAATGCTTTTGTGAAAAACCAATTCACTGATTTTTTCCGTTGATATGATTGTCATTTTTGATTAACTTACATTTCTGTATTCAATTGTTTTGTGAACCGGGTGTTTTTTTTAAATAGCTGAATGGACTATATATTTTTTATTTCTTGCATATCCTGTGTAATGTCGATTTTAGAATTGTTGGTCAAGGTTAGCTTTATTATTATAACAAATTAAGTGCAGAATGTTATCGTTGAAAATGAATGTGATTCACTGATTGATGTCATTACAATATTTTTATTTTATTTTGTCGCAGAACAATTAGAACGTTCCATAACACACCGACTGTCGACGTATAATTGTATGGTTTTGATCATACAATTGCCTATTTTATTTTAAAAAAATGTAACTCGATCGCACATCTGTAAAGGCAGATTAATTATTAATACTTATATCATGTGTGAAATTTTCACATACAATAAAAAAAAACGGCAATATCGAGTATATGCGGGCGTTTGTCACAGCTGTTGCGTTTTAATTCATTTTACCTCGAAAATAAACAATGTCGCGTCAGTATAAAACTACAAATTTAAACAATGTGTCATTGTTTATCAGAATTTCGTGGCATCTGATAAGATTCCAGAGGATTTACCTCTTGTTTATTCAAATATTGCGATGATAATTTTATGCAAATGAACGTCGAATGAATTGAATAAATATGTGCGACACCATTCGAATACTGCACACTTTTTTGAAGAAGTTACACTTGCTATTACCAGTTAACTAAGAAAAACAATCTTAAAATTGGCAAATTTGCATTTTTTAAAATATTTTTTTTGTTCAATATCTTTTATATTTAATAAGCAAATGTCATAAATACTCGAAAAATAATGGATTTCTTTTCATACAAATTGTAATGAAGGAGAAAACGAATGTAGAAAATATGTTGTGTATGAAAAAAAATCCATTAAATTCGTGAAAAAAGTACAAATTCGAGTACTCAACATTTCATCACATCAATTTTTTTTAAAATAAATATCTCTAACAATCCAAAACCTTTTTTTGAAAGTGTACAAACAAATTTTTGCCGCACTTTTAATCGATCGATGCAATTTGGCTCGAAAATAAATCGGCTTACATATATGTCATAGAGTCCTTTAATGATGTCTCAGTATACGTTCCGAATACATTAAAAAAAAACACGAAAAATTGGAATGTACGAGCAAAGCATTTGATTCAATACGGTGCGTTTGAGAGACACGGCAGAAGCTCTTGACTATATAAAGCTGTATGATATCACGAATATAAAGTGGATAGTATGTCGATTTTTTAGTGTATATACGTGGATGATAACAAATAAATCGATTTTTTCTCATTCAAAAACAAATCGTTCATTCTACTTCAAATTTGAACACACAAATCTGAAAAACTGTTCCTTTTTTGAAATATTTAGTTTCAATAAAAAAATCCCGTTGTTTCTGATAAGATTTTTTTTGCATTCTCACAATTATAAAAATTATATAAATTAGAACCATTTGGTCAAACATAATCATATAATATTTGTCAAACAAGTTAATTTACTGAATTTGTTCTCATCAGAATTCATGCCGATGATGATGGCTTGAAAGCAGAACAATTTTATTGAAAAATGTTTCATAAATTTTCTCTTTAATAATGACACTCACTTTGATTTTTCTCTCACCATCACTTTTGTAATAAACTACGTAAAAAAGGTCGATATTTATTTGGGCAGTAGTGTTAATTGATGGTTAAATGTTGTGTGTAGCAAAAATGCAAAATTGTTTTAATTTTGTTGAATAAAATCATGATGTTCGAGATGAAAAACGTCTTGAATATCACGCAAAATGAATAAAATGTCTTTCTCTCGCTCTTTCAGGAGCGTTGAAAGGTGGTTCCGACACATACATACATACACAAACGCAAGTACAATTGTATCGCGCAACGTAGTCGCCTATTTGCGGTACATGGAGCGATAGCAACCACTGTTGAACAATACAAAATAACATTGAAATAGAGCCCTCCGAAACGAGTTGTCGATTCCTTTTTACCAAATAGCTTGCGTTACAGTGCAATATGCCTTTATGCGTTTGCACACTATTGCTAAGGGATGCTACACACTCACAGAAAACCATAGTCTACTCTGAGCGTCGTGCTCCCTTCTGTTGCACGGCGTATGTCAGGACAATGCTTTGCCTCATACAGCTATACACATTATACAGTTTTAAATGTTTCAGCTGTTTTATGCACATCACACATACAGCAGTTCTCATTGTTAACAACAACAATTCATTTATCTTACGGAATAGTTAACAATTGAATACTATTCATCTTTTTGTTTGTCTCAAATTACAAGCACTATATATTTATAACACAATTTTCGGATTCTACGCCGTTGCACAGGCAACATATAATTTGCATTTCATTATTTGTGCTTTTTGATCAAATGTTGAAAATGCAAATTATTTGTGATTATTGGATGTTTATGGTAAATGTACTTTACACTTTCTTGGGGTTATTCATTCCATATAGCGAATATTGACAGTAAAGAACACCTACAATTGATGGAACAGCCGAATTTAAACTGTTTGAAACATAAATGTTGATATTAATTGTGAAAATTTAATTGATATTAATTGCGAAACGTTATCATGGTGATTAACACAACGATCGTTAATTTCACCCAAAATCGACAATGAAACGCCCCTTAAAAATTCGGAAGGCTCAAGTATACTTGTATACAGATATGTATTATAATACAACAACAGAAATTGATTCATGTGGTTTATGTTTTATTTCAGACTTAAATTCTTGTCATACATTTGATTTTAATGAAGAAAAAAAAATCAAATTCAAAATCTGGGAATTGCTTGCGAAACAGTTTGGTTGCCAGTCATATACATTTGGCGCCATCTGAAATTGTCTAAACGAAATATTGACATTTCTGTCAGAATGAAAAAGTTGTGTGAGCGAGAGAACGAGAGAAACTGTCTCATATTCGTCGCACACAAACATCACTCAGCCATTTTTTTTACTTTTGTATAAAATCATTAAGCGTGCACGTCAAAGGTACTTGATAAATTTTTTAGTTTTATAAATATATTTTCCGTATTTTTGTATTAAATTTATTGTGGTCAAAATATTTTCGTTTGCCCAAAATTGGTGGTGTGATATAATTTAGCGTGGTATTGTTTAATTGCATTTAGCCTTTGACCATAAATAGTTTGGTGATAGTTTGTTTAGGAATTCCATTTTGGAGAGAAAAAAAAACTCGTTGAAACTTCTGAGTCCATTCATAATCAATTTAATTCCAAATAATCCGCACATGAACGCGAGCATTACCACAAATAATACAAAAATATTGTCAATGCTATTTGCTCTCTATTGATTTTTTTTTGTGTTGCGGTGATTTATTAAATTGTTGGTAATATTTGCGACATCTTGTTTGCCACAAAAAATACTAACAACAACGTCGTACTTGTAACTTGCAGGTGTTAAGCATTACCAATTGCAAACGATTTGAATCAAAGTGCACATGGTTTTTTTCATTCCTTTTACAAATTGTAGAATATATGAAATCATTGCAGCAGTTCATGAATAATAAATAAAAAATTCTTTTATTGCAGACATCAGACGTATTTTTCGCATACAATTGAAGGTTAAGTTAAACACAAGTCAAAATGAGCAGCTCCGAAGAAGTGTCATGGATTTCATGGTTTTGCGGACTTCGCGGTAATGAATTTTTCTGCGAGGTAAGTCTTATCTTATTTTGTTTTTCTTTAACCAATTTCAATTGCTGAGCTTATCAACCCTTTCTTTATGCAGGTCGATGAAGACTACATCCAAGATAAATTCAATTTGACTGGATTGAACGAACAGGTTCCCAATTATAGGCAAGCTTTAGATATGATTCTAGATCTTGAACCAGGTACGATTACATGCCGACAATGTTTATGATGTATTTTTATTAAATGTTTGATTGTGTCTTTACAGAGGATGAATTAGACAACAATCCAAATGAGTCTGACTTGGTTGAACAGGCCGCCGAAATGCTGTATGGTTTAATTCACGCTAGATACATTTTGACCAATCGTGGTATTGCTCAAATGATAGAAAAGTACCAAAGTGGTGAATTTGGCCAATGTTCGCGCGTTTACTGCGAAGGTCAATTCATGTTGCCAATCGGTAAGTTTGAGCGTGCATCTCACTATTTCGCTATTGAGTACAATAATATATTTTTTGCTACAAATTTATGGTGACTCAATCGCTTTTTTCTAAATGTGTTTAGGTTTATCCGATATTCCCGGCGAGGCAATGGTTAAAATTTATTGCCCGAAATGCATTGATGTATACAACCCGAAATCTTCCCGTCACCACCACACCGATGGCGCATATTTTGGTACCGGTTTTCCTCACATGCTATTCATGGTTCATCCTGAATATCGTCCCAAGCGTCCAACCAATCAATTTGTTCCAAGGTGAGTGCAAATTTAAATAAGAAAAAGAGAGAGCTTTGCATCTCATGTGAAATATCGATATATATTAACATAATTCCGATAAATTTACAGATTGTATGGATTCAAGATTCATTCGTTAGCCTATCAGATCCAATTGGCAGCGGCTGGAAATTTTAAAATGCCTTTACGAGCGGTAAATCATGAAAATAGAAATTGAGCGCACTAACCCAATTTGCTAAATCTAAATTTCAATTGAACATACAAAACTAATTAGCTAACCCCGACTTTTGTCTTTATGTTGCAAAACAATAAATCACGAATCTATTTCCGTTGTGTGAAATAAAAAAAATAGTACTTTTACCAAAAGTGTTGTGTGAGTGCTGGCCAAACGATTAAATTAAGAGAAAAAGAAATGGGTGGATGGAGGGTAATGACTGTGAATAAATTGCAACATGATTGAAAAAAATGGACAAGACCATACAGTTTAAGCACTATTGGTGAAAGTATTATACCAAAATCTTTAGTTATATAAACGCTGGTAATGACGAACATAACCACGGTTCCCACGCTTGCATTTGTTGCATTTCTAACAAAAAACCACTTCATCTAATTGTAACTGTGAGCGCACGCCATTCATCATTATTTTTTAACTCACTCATCCGTTTAAAAGTCGATACAAATCAACAAAAAAACAATCCTTTTGCCATTGTTCAATTTCAGGATCAGAGAATGTAATGAAAATAAGAATTATCGAAAGGATCGCATTAAAATAAAACACTGACCATATTTGCAACCTGATTTCAGAAATGAAAACAAACAATTTTTTTGTGTTGAAAAGTAATGGAGAAGAGAAAACGATGGAGATGGCCCAAAATGTAACAAAAAAAACATCAGCAATTTCTAAACAGCGAACAAGTGTGCGAGAAAATAAGGCGTTTGTTTGGTTTAAATTTGATTTTGTAGATGGAATATACAACATTTTGGAGTTATAATGAACAAGGACTAGCGTCTCCAAATGACAAAAAATAAAACACACACACACTCTAAAAATAGAATAATATAATCCATTTAAGACATACACACATAATAATGAACAAATCAATCTCAGTGCAAAGAAAGTTGAGGAGGAAACAGAAAAAAAAAACATATTATTTAAAAATCAATTTGTAATTTTTCATAAGATCAAAAGCAACTGTTCTTAATTTGATTTCATTTTATGTGTTTCGATTGCATTTGAAAATGCGGGCATATGTACGAATATGTGGCAACATCTTTTTTTTGATAAAAAACAACACACAAAACCATATTGTATGAAAATCAGGGCAAATCAAGTTAGTTTTCAATTGCTTATTCTTTTGTTTTCTTGGAAATAAATTAAAAAATAAATAAATCAAACAAAATAACAAATTAAAAAAAAAAAATGAAAAAACCATACAATTTAATTCCATATTATAATTTGTTTAGCGAAATAAAGAGAAAAACACTCAGATAAGGCACATTTGATTCTATATTCAGTTCGTTTAGAATCGTTTTTGTTTTGTGTTTCCTTTATTTCTTTTTATTTCAATTTTTTTTCTTCATAGGAACAGGAACTGCATAGAACATAAATCAAATGTATTTTTAATGAAATAATTGATAAAAGAAAACAGTGTATGAAATTTTCGAAGATAATTTCATTTGATTTATTTCAATTGGTGTTTTTTTTTTCTTCGGGTGGAAAATATCTTTACATATACGGTTCAAAGTCTTTTGTGAATTTGTCATTATCATTTTCGGCGCCAATCGCACAGGCTAGCATTGCATTGATTGATTTTTCTTCGGCCGCTCCATAAACGTATCCATTTGCTTTGTCGATGATATTTTTCAATCTTAATAAACTATCACGTCGTTTTACATCTAACGGTTGAAATGTAACTAAGCTATAATCTTCGACCATTGATACAATGGCTGCATTCAATTTTTTATACTTTTTCATGCCCGGTGAATTGTCCAGCGCCTCCAGAAGATATTTTAAATCCAACACTTCGGTATAAAAATCGATGTTGAATGCCAGCTTTGCTTCGAATTGCTTCAGCAGATCGGCTTTGCTCAGAACATTCACGTGCGGCAATCCCATCTGTAACATTGTATTCAGCGATAGCAACAGTGTTGAAATAAATTTGGTTGGTTCTGAACAATAATGCGAATCGATGAGTTGAACCGTGCACAGATGATAGCCAAGTGAATGTAATCGATTGAAAATTCGTGTCATTGATTGATGGTGTGTGTACAGTTCAACCTGTCCTGGACAATCGAAAATGAAATAATTGGCTGTACTTTGCTTCAATTGACTCAGTAACCAGTCGAAATTCTCTTCCAAATACTCCATACAGTAAACGAGCGCGCCATTTGGCCCGAGTTTTAAATGTTCCATGACATCAGCAATGGTTACCAACTTCATCTGCAATTCATTTTTTTTTTATTTGAACATTTATCTTCACTTGGTGTTTAGATAACTCGATGTTACTTACAATATCAATTTGTGCATTGTAGCTCATTTGTTCGTTTGCCGGGTCCAAATTGACGACAGCTACTTTACGTTCCAATTCCTTGTAAAATTCATTTATGTGATGGCAATAAGTAGTTTTGCCACTGCCCGGGGGACCAATGACCAACTGACCATACAGAGGATCGCGAACTTGTCGATTACAAACATTTACATTTGGTACCATCATTTTGTTAGCTTTTTGTCGGATATAAAAAAAAATGTGCAAACAAATCAAATCGTTTGTTTTCATCGACACTATTTCTATTAGACGTCAAAGTGCTGCCTGTCAAATGTATGCGTGTGTTCGCGTAATCATTGTGGTATGATATATAGTTTTGCCATTGACATTGAGCGTACCAGATGAAAAAAAAAGCCTATATTAAACAAATGCACTAAACGTTTCCATTGTGAAATATTTATTTGAATTGCCAAATATGGGAAAAAATTTGTTACTTAGTTAGCGGCTTTCCATATCTATTCACTTCAGTTTATGTGTGTGTTTGTATGCGTGCGTAAACGCATTTGGGTGTGTGTTTGTGGTGCTTGATAGTATACTAGCCCGTACTGGCTGAGACGGTCGGCTTCTCGCGTACAAAACACACAGTATTCGAATAAACACAGAGAACTTTTCAGCAGCAGACCGTATTTTTCTGTTTTTTATTTTGTTACTAAATTTCATTTAATATCTTCATTGTCAAATTTGCGATAACACGCAACGCATTCGCACTCATTTTATTTAACAATTTAAGTGAGACTTAGATATGTCATACTCAACGAGTAAGTGTTTTTGTTTTTAAATTGTGTGTGCAAATCAGTGTTTTTTTTATTTGTTATAAATTTTTGTGCTGTGCATTTCGCTTGAATGACGGTGACTCATATATAATCGCGCCGACGATATCATTAATTCATTGATATTATGAAGCGAATTTACGTTTTTTTTTTGTTTCCTTATCGAAATTCCAAAGATTATCGGGATTTCTAGCGCAGTTTTATTTGAGAATATTATTTTGGAATTTGGAATGAGAATGCATATTAGAATTTTTATATCGACATCCAAGTGACCTCACCTCCTTTTCAGCATTCGCGGCGATGATGCTGTATCCGTTAACGCATCAATGCTTATTCGTAGCGTTTTTTGAATTTTTAATTTGTTTACCATACACATTTGCTACCTGAATCAGAACAATAAAAATGGTTAATGGTTCGTTGCAAGTCTTATTTAGCCAAGTTATCAAAGCGGAAAAGTCCAGATAACTAGTTTTTGTTTCGTATGAAATACACTTAAAAGGTTGCAATGATCTCAATCGGTTGGAAATATTTATAATTTCTGTGGAATTTTCTTTGTGTGCAATATCGTAACAGTGCAAAAAAAAAGAATGTTGATGAAAAAAGCAAAACAAATAAATTCAAGCTATTGTGGAATGTGTTTTTGCATTTTTGCATCATCAATTTTATGTCTCCAATTTTATATTTTGAAAATAGAAAATGAAATGGGTTCAGTTAAGTTAGTCAAATGGAACTTTTCCGTTCGGTTGCTTCGTCATGTACCGCGCATTATGTTTATTTATAAACGACAACGATATTTGTGAAAAATCAAATGGAAAGAAAACAAAGTCCCACATTCAGTGTATACAGGCTTAACATCTATTATCTATGTCTTTCCTCTACGCTGCATATAGCAAATGCTTGGAAAAATGATTTTCTTCTCGACTCTTTTTTGACTTGTGTGTGTGTGTCTCTGTGTGTGTTCTTTGCTCCGCTGATATAATATTTCTTCTTTTTTTATTCGTTTGATTTGTTATTTTTAGAAAACATTTATGCAACACTGCCGCGTACACAGCGCGGTCAACCGATTGTATTGGGATCAGATCCAAAAGGCAAAAATTTTCTGTACTGCAACGGAAATTCGGTCATAATCCGTAATATTGATGTGAGTTCATACAGATGACAGTTACCAAAATATACGCTTATGATGAGCGAATAATTTATTTCAAATTTATTTCGCGAAATTGAGATTGTACATAACTCGTGTACAGTTGAAATGTTTTGTTTTGTCTACTTTGTAACGTAATGTGTTTATAAATATTTCTATTTAGAATCCGGCCATAGCCGATATCTACACCGAACATTCGTGTGCTGTGAACGTTGCTAAATATTCACCAAGTGGATTTTATATTGCTTCGGGCGGTGAGTGTTTGAAAAATATTTGAATTCAAGAAGAGAGCAAATCTAAATCGTATCACATTTTCTCTCTGTCTCTTTCGCTGTCAGATCAATCGGGCAAGGTACGGATTTGGGATACTGTTAATAAGGAGCATATTTTGAAAAATGAGTTCCAGCCAATTAGCGGCCCAATTAAGGTAAAATAAAATAATGATTATTTATTCAAACTTATTTTCACATGAATTCTATGTCTTTAGGATATTGCATGGTCGGCTGATAATCAACGTATGGTGATCGTTGGTGAGGGGCGTGAACGTTTTGGTCATGTTTTTATGACTGAAACTGGTACATCTGTCGGCGAAATAAGTGGTCAATCGAAACCATTGAATTCATGTGATTTCCGTCCGTCGCGCCCATTTCGCATTGCAACCGGTAGCGAAGACAATACAATTGCCATTTTTGAAGGTCCGCCATTCAAATTCAAGATGACAAAACAAGATCATGGTCGTTTCGTACAGGCTGTACGTTATTCACCGAGCGGTCATTTGCTTGCATCGGGTGGTTTCGATGGAAAGGTTTTCTTGTACGATGGCGCAACAGCCGAATTGGTTGGCGAAGTTGGAAGTCCAGCTCATAAGGGTGGTGTATATGCTGTAGCATGGAAACCAGATGGAACACAACTTCTTACATGTTCCGGTGATAAATCGTGTCGCTTGTGGAACGTTGAAACCAGAGAGCTCATCACCGAATTCCCAATGGGTTCAACGGTCGACGATCAACAAGTTTCGTGCTTGTGGCAAGGAGATCATTTGATTACCGTATCACTGTCTGGTTTCATTACATACTTGGATGTAAATAACCCAGATAAACCATTGCGCATTGTAAAAGGTCATAATAAACCGATCACTGTATTGGGGTTGAGCGATGATCGTAGTACGATTTATACAGGCAGTCACGATGGTGCCATCACCAGTTGGAATTCAGGAAATGGAACTAACGATCGTATCGGTGGCATCGGCCATGGAAATCAAATAAATGGAATTTGCTCGGCCGGTGATGTTATTTACACTTGTGGCATCGATGATTCATTGCGTGAAATAAGCGTTGAAGGTAACACTTACACGGACACCGTTGTTAAATTAAACTGTCAACCAAGAGGATTAGATGTGATTCGTGAGCAAAATATTGTCATTTTGGCATGTCAACGCGATATTACGGTTGTGAAAGATAAAAAGAAGTTATTCTCACTTCCCATCAAATACGAATCAAGCTGTGTGTCAGCAAATTCTGAGTCATTGGACGTTGCAGTTGGTGGAGACGATAGTAAAGTGCATGTTTATACATTGACCGGTGATCAATTGAATGTTAAGGCTGAATTGGATCATTTGGGTGCTATTACAAATGTTGCATATTCTCCGGATAAAAAATTCCTCGCTGCCTGCGATTCAAATCGCAAAGTCATTGTCTACAGCACCGAAGAATACAAGGTAAGACATTTATTCAAAATTAATCACGCGACTAATGTATGTTTTAAATTCCCTTGACGTTTGTTGTTGTTGGTTTTTCTCGCTCTCCTCTTAATAACACTGTTTTACATCTTTTTTCCATTCACATAATAAATCGTTGCACATACTTTTTAATGAATATCACATATTGCAATCGCGCACACATATTCTACTTTTATGATCATCAACTAACACTCAGATCGTAAGTATTCTTGAATGCTAATCACACTAATAGCTAATTTATTCCATGCGTCAATTCAACTAATTACTCTCGATGACATAAATGATGATTTAAAATTGAAAATATCATTTTAATTACAGCCGGCTCACAAACAAGAATGGGGCTTCCATAATGCACGTGTCAATTGTGTAGCCTGGTCACCAGACTCGAAAATGGTTGCTAGTGGTAAGTTGAAATTTATTCGTTGCAAATGCAATATGCGATTTACATCTATTTCACTTCTCTCGTCAAAAGGTTCGCTCGATACAACCATCATAATTTGGTCAATGACCAATCCATCAAAACATACCACCATCAAAAATGCGCATCCACAATCGCAAATCACCGGTTTGGTTTGGTTGGACAACGAAACACTCATCAGCACTGGACAAGATTGTAACACAAAAATCTGGCAAATTGAATCAATTTAAATACAGACATGGTACTGAAGATGAAAAAAAAAATCAGTCACAAGTTGCATTTCATTTTAAAAAAGGAACACTGATTTCAATTGTAATCATATTCATCGATATAATATGTATGAGAAGGATTTTTCATCGAAACGGACACTCTCACCAGCAATAATCATAAATGATATGAAAACCCCTCTTTTGTAATTTATTTCAGTTTTTTAAACTATTAACTCTTTGTTTCATTCATTTTTCTGATTTGCTTTTTCTTTTTCTTTTTAAATGACAAATAACCTGCGTCTTAAGAATATAATGTAAAGGAATTGCAAAGATTGCCAATAAAGTACCGCAGAAAAAAAACTGAATTAAAAGCAAATTCGTTTTGTTTTATTAAGAAAAAGTCATTTATTATCTACCAAATAAAATTATTACATCGAAAATCTTAAGAAGAAAAACCGCTTAAAATTATCGGCATTTAAATTTGAAGCAAATTGGGCATTAAAAAAGCTAAGACTAATTGAGACAAAAATAAATTACAATTGCTTAAAATCTACTTTACCAGGTTTTCGTACTTGACCACAAAATAACAATGTATTTGTATTTTTTTCGATGATTAAAAAGGCAAATGGGCGATTTGCTTGGAAACGTGGTGAAATTGCTTTGTTTGCAAAAATGGCTCCAGTTGCAGCGGTAGCTACAGTTCCCACCTCGTTAACATCGATTTGTGCTTTGTGTATGAGACGAGATAGGTAAATGGGATGTCGCGAAATGCGTGATAGATTCGCTTTTTTCACATTGAAAATATCGGTAAGTCCCATTTGTTCAAGAATCACATTCAATGTAAAATCGGCTGTGATGGAGAATCGTGGTAAGAAAACTTCGACTTGATCTTCTTCAAAGTCAGAGTCAGCGCGTCGTAGTTCAGTTATTACACGGGCAATTCCAAACGAAGAGAGTTTCTCCAACACCGATGTCAACAGAACACCTTTACGCGGCAACAGAAGAAGCATACTCAAATTTTCTTGATCACCGTATGGCAGTTCGAGTACAAGCGAATCCAGTTCATTAATACCTGTATTAATTAGTGTTGATCTTTTTAGCAATATATTTTCTTTTGAAATATTACTCAAATGGAGATTTATATTTTACCAGTATAAGAAAATGATCCGCGTTGAAACATCATATTTACATTTTCTTGGAAATTGTCGTTTTCATCGTAGAATGGCTCTTCAGTTGTCTGACTGATATTAAATGGGCTCTGAAAAAAAAATTAAAATTAAATGGGTGATGTAAAATTGGGCAGCGATCACAGGATCTCAGATGGGATTTAGTCTTACCTTCCATTGTGCCCGGAAAAATAATGCCGATAGCAAAATCATTTGTGCTTCTCGTAAATCTTCCATGTTTACAATCTTATTGATCCGGCCGTGTGTTTGATTGCTCACATAATCGTTGATTTGATTGTATGTTTCAATTGGATTATGAAAATCGACGGGCATGTGTTCGGCTTGATATTGCTGATCCAATTTGTAAGCGAATTCCGATTCAACCGGTCGATTTATGTCGCTAAATAAAGCCTGATTGATTGCAACTTCCACCGTTGACGAGTTCACGTTCAATGAATCTTGTATGTGCTTATAAGCCATACGTAAATATGATAAATCTTGCGGAAGTCGAAGAACCTGTTGCAATTGAGTGTAAGTGTCACCGTCGGCACCTTCGGCAGTTAATACGAGCAATGACCAAATCGAAAATGGCGACACAATAAAATCATAATTAACATTGCTCACAGCGACTGAAAGTCGTTTTAAAAATTCCAACGAAAATTGTTCGGTTCCCATTGAAATGGAACGTAACGATTCAACGACTCTTTGTTGATGCGCTTGTATTGTTGAATCATTGTTTCTGGTGGACGGAATTATCGATGCTAGTGAATTTGACAGAGATTCATCATCGGCAACAACTGCAACCGAACCAAACAGACATAAAGCCAAGGTGAATACAACAAAGTGTCTCATTGTCATCATTGATTTATCTGCAAACACAAAATAAACCATATATTTTATCTAAATTATTATTTTACAAAACAACTACCGGGACTACGGATAAACAACAACAACATAATTTATTATAACATTTTCGTATATGCTCCACACTACAATCCAAAAATTCATGACCAACTAATGGAAAAAAGTCTGTTGTTCGTTTAAAATAAAAATGTGTGCGCATTGTATTCGATCGTTCTGGAAAATTGAGAGCAAAAAACGGAAATCCAGCCTTTGTTCTCGATGGAATAAATAGAAAAATACAGATCATCGTGCACAAATTGAAATACAGCGCACAGATTGTGTAATCGATGCATAACAATAATTATATTAATTGAGGTTTTTTGTGTGAGTGCAAAGCATCGTCGTCACAAAAGTGACTTCAAACAAATGGACTGGTTTTCACAAAATTTGCATTTAAATGCCAACAATTGCTGCTTAATGATTTATGATGTGTAATGAAAATCAGTATTCTATTTCGTATTTCCTGTTATGCGTTACATCTTGTATTTTAATTTCTGTGTTGAAATTGTTGCGACGTACCATTGGTGAAAGCAAATGCTACACCACATACATCTGAATAAAATAAAAAAATAAAAGAATACATTGTATGTGCAAAAATTCTATTCAAAATCAAGATTAAAACACAATTCTAAATGGCATGGTAAAGAAAAAGTTGGGCAGAAAAAAAAAACGTTTATTTAGTTTCTGAAATTCCCAATCACGTAAATAATAGTGGTATTTTGGGACTTTCCAAAAGTCAAATAACCGCATTCTGTTGATGGTTACACAATGTCTGGGACGTGCACCCAATTTAGAACACTTCATTTGTTGTTGCATTCACGATGTTCTACGGGCACCGTTGAGGTGAATGACTTTCTTTTGTTGTCAATCGATGATTTAGCATACTATAGTCGCAACCGTTTACACTAACGAACGAAACCGCATTCATTAAAGAGGCTCACTTAGTGAGATTTACACAGTTTTACATCAAGGTCAACGCGACAAGTAACTGGCGCTGATTGAATGGCAGTATGAATATTGAAATAAAAGTCGGTTGCGTTGCATGCGTGCCTAAACATGAATTTTATCATCATCGATCATAAAACACATTAGCCGAATTCCATAAAAATAGGTGAACATGAACATGATCATATATCAGATTGGGAGTTAATTGTGGCCAGTAATTTTCGTTTGAGGCGATGAGTCTCCAATTTTGTTTTATTTGTTTGCCAAATTCAGCTTATTTAAAAAAAGATCATGGAGTTTCCGAAAGTATTTTTACAAAAAAATATTTTTTTTAATTGTTGTGGCTTTCGCTGAACGCTTCAGAAATTGAACAATGCCAAAACGTGATTGGAATCAGGGCCAAAACGAACAAATAAAAAAATAATTTCGACTAAATTGACTATAGTCAATAAGTTCTTGGTTGGATACAGAACGTGAAAACTCAATTTTGGATTTCATGCCGAAGATTACAATAATTTCCCATAAATTCGACATAAAAAAAGCAATTTGATAATTTTTCAAAACGAACGAATACAAAAAAAATTACTTGAAATTATTATAATCAAATCACGAACATTTTCATTCTTGTTAAACGATTTAGAAATTGCCGCAGCAAGCGGAATTGAAATTACAGAAAAAATGTTATTACAAATAACTCAAGGGAAATTAAACAGGTATGTAATTAGTTGTTCTTGGTACGAGGCGTAAACATCTAACACTTTTACTCAAGATTCCGCATAACCATCATTTTTTTCTTCTTCTTCTTCTTCTTCACCATTTCGTACATTGGTAAATGGAAACCAAAGCACATCAAACAAATCAACTAAAGATCACACATAAAGAATACTCAACGTATTTGCTTTCAATTAAACGAAAGATCGAATCACTGATTTCACTTTCTCCAGACTTAAAACTATAGCGGTTCTTTCTTACTTGGATTGCGTGATATAAACATCTTATTTGCCATCATTGTCATTGGTATGCGTTGATTTATTCTTTATTTGCGGCGTGCAAACACAATTTCTTTTCCCCGTAATGTTACACTTGATAATTATTTACGTACTCTCTAATTGGCTGTAAAAGCAGGCAAAAAAAACTGTTTTTTTCTTTCTTTCGTTGGTCACAATGTCAATATTAACTCGTTTATTCTTCAATTTCCCGTTCTAAAATTCTATATCGAATGAAAGTTTTCGCTGAATAAATTTCAGGTAAATTTATTACCACAAGTATTTATTGCAATCAAAAATTCTCTTCCGTTTATCAAATCATCACCTTTCGTTCACTTGATATTGTTGGATTTTTCTTAATTTAAATTTATTATTTATTTAATTTTTATTCTGTACCGTTGTCACCGTAAGTGCTAAGAAATATTGAACTCAAACTGAACCGATAGAGTGACACAGGTAAAGAGAAGAAGACACAATTAATTAACTATTAATTTTCGCAACAAAAGCCGTACAAGTACGTTCTGCAACAAGTTTCACTGCCGACTGGATAGCGCCGATCAAACCGCAAATATATAGTCGTGTTGACTAAAAAAAATCGTTAAAATCTACTGATTCACACATGTAGTGTGTGCTGGTTTTGTGTGAGACACTGAACATACAGTTTGTGATGTCACATACGACCGCATTCAATGCTACTAGTAAAACGATCGCAGCATGATTCAATGTCTATTTGTTCTCTCTCTGTCGTATGTAAACAAACTCATGAACTGGGTGAGCGAATATATTACACAAAAGGGTACACTATACATCAGAACGTGCCATATAAATTCAGTCACGCTGACGCGGATGGTGATGATGATGTCGTTCGAGAGTACGAGCGAAATTACAAACGATAAATATAAAAAAAATGTAATTCATGGTTAAGTGGAAAATGAGTAAGCCAGAGTACCAAAAACATATTGCCGCGTATTGATAACGAGCGCGTGAAATGTAGCAATAGTAACAAACATGATTAATTGAACAAATAATTAGGTACACAAAAGGTGAGAAATTTTCATTCTTATTAAGAAATTCCGAATTGTGACAGATATGAATGATTCATTTTTCACTGGAAATTGATAACGGATCTCTGCCGTAACGATACATTTTGTTTTATCTAATTGTACACAGGTTCATTGTTGAGACATTGAAATTTTCATTTCTTTAATGAGGCATTGGAATTAACCACTTTTATTTCACACTTATCGATTTTTTTTTTGTCACGAATTTGGCACACGGTATTTGCGATACTCCTTTTTATACTTTTTTCTACTCCACCAATGAACTCTATCTCTAAATCATTGAAGAATTGCAAAAACTCATCGGATATAAACTAATTCCGTCGTGCACAGTTTGCAAAATTAATTTATCTTATCAAGATCTATTGTGTTTACCTGTAACTGTTACGACTATGAAATGACTCAATTGGAAAATTGATGAAAGAAATATTTAAGGTCACGACAAACTACAAAATCGCGTCAATTTTAAATGCTTCAATAGTATATCTTTTTTTCATTATCTAATTGCGTTTGAAGTGTGAAGATCGCCTTAAAATAGTATGCAAATCAAATATCCCGCCATTAATATTAACAAACGACGCATTTTGTTTTGAACGTTTTCGATGAAGTTTGCGTGTGTTTATTTTGTATAGAACGAATTTCAAGAACGTTCGTTACACAATGCAGCATGCTTTGACCGGAGTACACAAAGACGACGCCACATTTACAAATACAACCAATCTCAGTGAACTATGAAACCAATCATAGTGGCATGATCATCGATTCACAGCATATATCTGTGCACACAAACATACACAAAGCCATTCGGAGTATTCTTAACTGTAGCACGTTGTTGGTGCATAAGAACAGATTTACTGTGACAACAGTTTTTCTGAAAAATTGTTGTTCGTTCATTGAACAATCAAATCGAAGTGAAATTCAGAAGAAATTTTGTCAAAGACAATTCCAAATCGGTTGACCATGAACAGTGAATCAGCGTCGGAATATTCGTTCAATGCGAGCGCGTACAATGTTGAATTTAAACAAGAGCCATCGGTACACGAATATGATAATGTTTCAATGGTATCGAATGAAATGTCAATATCTACCGTTGCTGACACGCATGAGCCAAGTAATCAATTCAATGCAAATGGGATATTTGACAGGAACCTAGGCTTCGCATTCGAAAGCAATTTGATTTTCAATGAAAAGCCAGAAACAAAGAAGGAAGAAAAACCGGTCGTTCATCGCAACACGGGAAAAATCAGCGTGGAAAACTATCGACGTCGAAAACTGTTGAGCCGAAATTTGTGGCAAAATGGTTATTCATCGCAGCAGCGTGAACAAGAAGAAGACGAACAACAGCAAATTGTCACATTGCAAATTGAACCGGCTATTCTGTTGGCTACTTCAACAGAAAGTGAAATCAATCGAATCGTTCCTTCGCCAAATCAAAGCAGCGACGAGATTTTTATATCCGATGACGAAAACGAACAGAATGTTGGTAATGTACAACAAATTTTTGCTGCCCCACGTTTGGTGATAGCAGCAACAGTTGACAATAATCGTGTATATTGTACAGTTTGTCGACAGTTCTACGCAAGCCGTAGAACATTCAAAAGTCATGAAAAATCAAAAAAGCACCTTGGCAATCTGGGAATGCAGCAGTAAATACACAATTTTTTGATCAAATTTTCGTTTTAAATTTATCTTTTTACGTTTTTTTTAATGCAAGCGAATGTTATTGTTTTGCTTAAGTTTAACATTAACTATTTTATTTCAATACGAACAAAATGCTGTAACTTTACAGTGCTAAATACTTATGAACATATATCGAACAAATTTCTAATTTATCACTTTTGAATATGCATGAATAGCTGTTAGTTTTCGCTTCAAATGTAGGCATTTTTTGGTAATAAAAATTGAATTATCAATAAGTGATAAAAAAAGGACAAGAAACAAAATCTTTTCTTTTATTAAAAACAAATAAGAATTTCATCCGCAGATTTTTCTAGGTGAATCGCCATTCGGTGCCATTACTTGGTGCCTAAAATATGAAAATTGCGCATTTGGTGTGTGATGAGGATAATATCATTCAGTCAGTGGAAAAAACTTAAGATGTTTTTTGTGTTCGTCGATACCATACTTACCGTTAATATTTTTACCGCGATTTCAACATTGTATAATAAAAACATCCACAACGCACTATTGAAATTAACAATATCGAAGCTTACCAATTCGTTTGCTTCGTCTTCATTCAATTCAAGGGTTTGATGGTATTTAGCAGCCATTGTAAATTGCCCTCAATCCGAATACAAATTTCAATTGCTTTCACAAACTATTTACCGATTCTTATATGTCAGTTCTCTTGTAGCAATTCGATGCATCCACAATTCCACATAACTAGTGGCAGTCGGTAGAAGAAACGTGAGATAATTTTTCTGTTCGGCGATATCACACTTACCGTTAATATTTTTACCGCGATTTCAACATTCTAGAATAAAAACATCCACAACACACTGTAAACCTAAAGATCGGATACACAATGAGACAATACATTGTATTGATGAAGTGATGATATTTATTTTACTTTGGACATTTAGGATTCAATGTTATGTTTTTTTGTTCGGATTCATCATTTTCGAATTCAGTTGTTTTTCTTTCTATTTTGCATTGCTACACTGAGAATATGTTTTTGCGTTTTGTTGTGGCTGTATAATGATCGCTTGCTGGCGTATTGAAACTTACAAAATGTGCAGTACAACGGATTCACATTACTCGGTCCAGGTTGTGGTACGGCGTTCTGTATTATGAAGCCAGTATTGCGAAGTGGTTCTGGTACGACCGGTGCATCTTCATCCGAAATTGCTTGTTCTGCTTCTTCATCCATTTTGAAATCGTTCACCACCATTTGATTCATTGATCTAGCGAGATCATCTCTATTTGCCGCGTAAACCATTACGCGTGTAAAACCAGCTGTATCGTGCACAATTTCTGAAACCGTTTGATCTGTATCGTTCGTAATTGACTTGAAACACAATGTGGTCGGAAGTGGAACTGTATGCTCTGCATTTTGATGACGTCGAAAATTTTCAACGCTGATTGTTCCGGTTCGTCGTTCCACAACTTGGGCTGTCGGTTGCTTCGAAATTCTTGCACTTTTTTTGGCACTTCCATTGATTTGCACATTTTCATTGTTTGGCGTATCAGTTTCAGTCTTAATTTCTGGATAAGCGTTATCTTCATTCTCGTCGTAATTTTCTTCGTCATCGATCACAATGATTTCATCTGGATCAAAAGCCAATACCTGATTTTCTATTGGCTCTTCCTTAATGACGTTGAGATCCATTATTTTCTATTTTGTACGACCTTTTTTCCTTGGAGAACTCTTTTACTATAAGTCGATAAATTGTAACTTGACATTGACAAAAAATGATGACTGCCTGTGTTGAACTCAGTTCTACGAATGATTCAATCGATGAAAATCCGCATCCGAAATGCGTTCAACATAGCGACACACATTTACACTCACACGCACAGTAAGTTGTTAGATTTTCTGTTAACGAGTAATTCGATACTCTGTTATGATGGGTGATTCTTCCTTTTCAGTAAAAAAAAGTTTTTACAGTATGAATTCCAGATTTTCAGACCTAAACATTTCAATTTTGTGACAACAACAATTTGCCTATTTTTGTATTTTAGATGTTGCTAATTCGTGTCAAGCCCAGATGATCAATATATTGTGTAAAAATGAAATACAATAACAAAAATAGATTTACTGAAAAAACCAACGAGAACATTTAGTGTTATGAAAGTTTCTTTATTCAAATAAACCTATTTTATACCATCCGATGCCTGTCGTCTGTTTGCAAATGTGTTCAATTCGTTGTCCTTACGATCTATATTCAATGAATTTGCTTTGGAAATTTTTCGTGTGTCATTGATTTCCTGATTAACATTTTCATAAATCCAGAACTCAAATGAGTCAGGACCACATTGAAACAAAATGAACAAAATGTAGTATATGTGGGTATTCTGTTTGCATTGCACACGTGATTAATTGGTTATTTCTATTTCAAATAAATTGAAACGGACTTGATTTTTTCTTATTTTCTGAAGAAGCATCGCCACACACATGTAATTGCAATTTTATTTTATCATCATAAGCTATTACTTGTATTTATGCACTAGCTATGCACAGATTAATGTTAATGTATACCATGGTTATTGATGTGCAATGCATTGACTAGACGGTACTTCGTACAAATCCATTTGTTGTTTGTTTTCTGCTTCAAAATTAGCACGCTTAAATACTATTTCACGTTTAGATTTATTTTTTATTCTTTCTTTTTTTTAAATAGAGATAATACAATAAAAGATTGCCTCTGAGAGCAGATGAATTTTATGAGCTAATTTCTGAAACTTGCTAAACTTCATATCATAATTGATAATTAATATAGTTTATATGTTTGCTTGTTACTGTTTTTTTTTTCTGGTTAAAAGGATACAAACAATTCATACGTGAAATTTATCTAGTCGAAAATGATATATTATTATTTTTTTTTTGCATGTATAATATGTATATATATATGATGTGAAAATCATTTACAAACAAATAAAATAGAAGACTAAATTAAGAGCCCATGCGTTTTGCGTGCGCAAGAAAATCCGTTGGATTGCATTTGTAATGACTTTCAGTCATAAAATGTGTCAAATGGTTTTGGAAATGCAGTCACTGACAAAATGCCCAAATTCATAATATTGACTCAGCCAATATGAACAACAAATTTATATATTTTTATACAGAGATATAATTACAAAAACCGAAGAGAAAATAACGTAAGTCTATGAACATGATCAGGTCATTCTGATACTCTAATGAATAAACGAAATTTCATCATAAAATTAAGATTTTGTTATTATATTTAATGTATTACGAACTATTATAACCGTCTACTGAATTGATGGTATTATACTTTGTTTTGTAAATTATTTTCCTTTATTTTTCTTTGCAAATGTGAACGGAATTTATCTTCTATTGATTCATGCATTTCAGATCCTGCTTGGGTTTTTCACAATGCTTGGTTGCGCCAATTAAACTAACCTGACTATGATTCTTGTTTTTGTTTTTGTCTTGATCATTTGGATAATTAATTCATCATGTCTGTTTTAAACGTAATTAATAATGTGTTTAAATGGCGTTGCAATTACTGCGCGCCTAGTACAACTTGTATTTGAAGTGATTGCACAGATCAAGACAAAGAATGAAATCATAGATATATATTTTATTATGTTGTCGTTGGGAATTTATCGCAAATCTGGATCTTCATTATATTGCTTCTTGATTCGCAATAGAATTGTGGTGTACCATTGATCAAGCCGTGAAATGCTGTCGTAATCTTTGATTGCGTCTGTGAATCCTTCAATGTTTGATTCTTCTAAATGTTCGCAAAGTGTCTAAAATCGGAAACAAACAGAATTAAAACTGATGGATCGAAATCAATCAGAGAGCAGCAGAAATGTTATAGACACCGCAGAAGTTTGAACACCTTCTTGGTTGTCTTTTTTGTGCTTAGCGGCACGTAAAAAAACAAATAGAATGATCGCACTTCTCCGATGCCAGTATCAGGTCTGGGGAGTATGTGCAGTTGAACAAACCTTCACTAATTTGTATTCACGTTGATCTTGGAATGCTGGATACTGCTGTGCATATTTTTCAATAGCATGTTGAGCATTTAACAAATCCACACTGAGATGACACAGAGCAGCGCGGAAAAAATACTCCTTGGCGCTGTATTTAAGCAACGAACTATCCAAACATGAACTGGCAACCTATTATTCGATTTAAAAAAAAACGATCTCTGATTACATCACTGATTATCTAAACGAAATTAAGTGGCAAATCGTTACCTCTTCATAGATTTGAATGGCTTTTTCGTAGTCTTCAAGTTGAGCTGCATACTGGGCCACTTTCAACATGCACTTGTTGGCTGAGCTGGTCGATTCTTCGCCTTTGAAGTAGTCAGCGGCTTGTTCATAATGCTGAACAGAACGTTGCTGTGGCAAATAAATAAATAAAAAGTAATCAAATTAGAATTTTCCAACATCGAATTTAACAAAATCGCATCTTACCAAATCGTTTGCTTCGCCTTCATACAATTCGGCAATGGTTTGATGATGTTTAGCAGCCATTGTAAATCGACCCATATCCGTATAAATTTCAATTGCTTTCAACAAACTATTTACCGATTCTTGTATTTCAGTTTTCTTGTAGCAATTCGATGCATCCACATAATTGGTGGCTGCATCATGTTTGCTACCTGCTCTCGCATGCAAATTGGCTGCTTCAACAAAACACTTTCCAGCTTGGTTCCAATTTTTTCCCATCTTGAACAGATTTGCTGCACGTTGATAACATTCTACAGCCTCTTCCAAACGATTGTTACCACCACTGGAAAATTGGACGAAAAACAAAATTTACAAATCAAAAATAAATCCACATCCAAAAAATGCAAATTATACAAGTACAAAAACACACAATCGATAATTGTAAATGTCAAGTACACAGACATGACAAAACAAAGTGTACACCCATACAGTGTATGTTATACAGTTCAGCAGATAAAAAAAATATGCAAAATTTATGATGTCATATTGGATCAAATCATAAATTCATCGATTCAATTGAAACATTCTCTTTTATTAATAACAAATTGATATGAGAATCAATTTATAATGGAATATTCCATCACATCTATTTTACAAGTACATCGATTTTCCAATATAATTTCAGGGTTCATATAAAATACGCACCCAAACAATTTTCCAAAGAATCCATTTGGAGCAGTTAACTTTTTCTCAGCCTCAGCCACGAGCTGAAGTGCTTTTTGCTCGTTATCTGCCATTTTTTAATTTATTTTTTTCTTTTATCCAAACTTTTCCACAATATTTTAACACGCAAATAAAATGTTTTTTTTTTCACTTGCGAAATATACTCTGAGTCACAATAACTTTCTATTGTTTCTGTCTGCGTTGTATGACTACGACAAGATGAAAAAAATTTATTCGATCGATACAAAGGAGAGACGACAAATTCGAACATGGCAACTTCGAATCGGACGATGTGTCAATGTCACATTATGGCACATTCACACGAATGAAGTTGAAGAGAAAGAGATTCTCGTTTATTTCATTGAATTTATTATTTTCAACCATTTTCTAATCAGATCAGAAAGAAATTATTTAAATTTTATTCTTTTTTATTGTTATTATTTAAGTATTATGAAAACATATGAAAGCTTGACAAAGTGCATTTTAAATGTCATGGAATTGACGTTAATGTCGATTCATAGCTTTATAAATGTATATTTTTCAGCTTGTTTATGAGATATTTAAATTATAGCTTTCAACAGTAATTTATAAAAACCAATTATGCATTTTTCAAAAGCAAATCTAACCTAAACCAATTGCGAATCATTTATATTGACCATTTGGTTTCGTTCGAATGTCGAGTTGATTTGACAGGTCAATTTTCGAAAATAACACACATTGAATGTGATTGTAAAAGTATGCGTGCAAAAAACCACTGCGTCAATTGAAAACAAGAAGAAGTGTGTGCGACTCATTCACAGACTGTGTGTTAAAAGAGCCGAAATACTTTGCATACAAAAGTAACATTAGCTTTTCCGCATTTATGGAATTTAATTATAATTATTTTGAGCGACGACAGAAGATGATGTTTGCTTAATTCTTTGAACATTGACTAAAATCACTGGAGATTTTTCTTGCATTCATGTTATTTATACAGGTAAGTCGTACGATATTATCGTATTATTTATTTATAGTAAACGTAGTATTTGCGGAAAAATTGTCTTTTGCAATGGAATTTTTCTTAATTGCAATAAAATAATTTAGGTTTCCCAATTTTTAAGGAATTGGCCGTTGATTTTCAATAATAAAGTATGTCTATGAAACGAAAGTGAATAAAATAATAATGAGCGTGAGAAAAGAACAAGTGTCAAATTGGTTCAGAGTTAAACTCACCTACATTTGTTCCCTTTATATTTCACTCATTTCATTCTTTGTTTTTCTTTATCTATACATGTTTCATTTGACCTTTGTGTATTTCATTTCCAGATTTATTTCAACAGATACACGCGTCGATTAGTTGGATTCAATTGAAAAAAACATCGAGGCAAGCGCAACCAATATGTTTTCGTCAATGAAAAATTTTCTGAATCGTCATCGACGTAAATTTGTAATTGGCGGTGTTGTGATTGCCGGTGGAATGATAGCATTTCGATATGCTCAACGAAAATTGTTCGAATATCAGGAGGCAAAAGCGCGCGAATTTTTCGAACGAACACGTCGCACACAACATTTTGAGACGACAGAACGAACGTGCAATCAAGCAATTATGGGACTGGGACCAAATCTTATTGAGCAAATTTTGAAAAATTTAGATGCTGACCGTATCGTTGCTGATCTGCGAAATAATCCAAACGACAAGATCGTATTGTGGAACAAACTCAAAGTGTTGGCAATCGCTCGATTGTGTGCATTAGTCTATGCATGCTCCATGCTGGTGATAACGCTTCGTGTTCAATTTAATATTCTCGGTGGTTATCTGTACAAGGATGCGATAGGTAATGTGGAACAAGTGACATCCGAATTGCAACACAGCTATGTGGCCTTAATTCAACATTTTTTGAGCGATGGATGCAATTCACTGTGTCAATTAATCGAAACGAAAGTGGAACACATTTTGAGTTCGTACGATTTGAGTCGAAAACTCACATTGACTGAAACTGAACAAATTTTCTGCTCAATTCAAATGGCCATCAATAGCGATGCAAACGATCCCAGTACTCATTTGGCTAAATATGTGTATCCAAGTGATTTGCCAGCCAGCACCACATCAAATGCATTGTTTGAGAAAATGTTTAATGAAACCATTGATATGCTCGAGAGCAGCGATGTTTCGACCTTAAACGCAAACAATGTAAGCCGAGGATTTTCAATTGTTATGGATAACATTGCTGATTTTTACTTTAAACCTGTGAATGGAACAGCAGCTGTTGAAAATGGCTACTCACCCAAACACATCACAAAAGCTTCGATTGAATCATCGACAAAGGTGGACGATGGTGAAGCGGGCGAAACATTGCCAAACATAAATACAGTTAGCATTCCAATACCAAAATTGATTCCAATTATAAATGGATTGGCCAAACAACAATTTAACACAACAACTCAACCGCCAAGCTTGTCAACATCACTGATGACACTTTATTTAATTTCGGAAAAGGTGAAAATTCTCGGAGCAAATACATACGAAGTATTCAGCGTATAATAATGAATTACGGATGATTTTCACGCGTACACAAATTCACTCACAATTCTCCGACCAATTCATAAATTGCACCAGAATGCAAATGATTCCCCATCCTCCCACAGGAAAAGCAGTCACATCGAACGATGAAGATTTATAAATTTTAGAATTATTCAACACATTTTAATTTTTACTTGTATTCAAGAGAAGAAGAGATGTATTTATAAGTGGGATATTAGATTCTTTTTTGTTTAATATCTCTATTCGGTTAAAGTTGCATGGGCACGGATGATTATTTTATCTTTATTTTATTGTACACAATAAAATTTAGGGTTAAACATGGAAATTAAAGCAAGAATAAAACATTATTTTGTATGCAGAAAATCGCCTCGAATTATTGATATTAATAACAAAAAAGAATACAGGTGCATGATGGAATTGGAATGTAAACGCATTGGGTTTGTGATTCAAACTGTTTTTATTTTGACTAGATTATATTAAACTTTCTTACATCGAATCGGTTGAACATTCATAGCCATATCTTTTCTTATCGATAAATTGAGTGTACAATCGCAACCTGTGCCGTTCTCTAATTGTATTATTGGAAGTTAAAAATGTCAAATAATCGCGTTTATTTCTTCTATTGGATAACAATTTCTTTTGTGGATATTTTGTTTATGCAATAATATATCTCTTGAACTTATCATTTGGAATATTTTTATTGTTTCTTTGACATAGTTCAAGTTCACTTTGTTTTAGTAAAATA